GGGTCCACGTGGCCACGGTGGTAGTACCGCTGGCAGAGGGCCAAGGCTGAGCCATTGGCCCAGGGGCTGCCCCCGCCCCGTACATATGCATAGTGGCCCAGCGACACATTAGGGAGCATCAGGTACTGTAGGCAGAGAAGGGGAGGTCCATCAGCCCCATCACCACCCCCTGCCCACCCGCCCTGCCCCTGGCCGCACGCACCTGGTCCACAGCATAGAAGATGGCCTGGTAGAGCTGCTCCCGCGTGTAGGCTGCGAAGGTGTCGTCTCCCCCGTCAGAGTAGCCCAGAAGGAAGAGGTGGCGGAAGGCAATGGTGTTCTCCTCCCGGAATGTCACTGCCAGCTGGTTGCTGAGCCCAAAAAGGATGAGCTGGTGGGATGACAGGGGGTGACACTGCTGGGGTGGGGCATGATTGGAAGAAGAGGAGAGGACCCACTCCATGCCCACCATCTCCCATGCCCACCACTTGTTCCCAATGCATAGCACATGGTGGCTGGCACTCATCTATCTCAGGGTAGCAACTAATGTCCATGAAATGTTTACCTGATGCCAACGTCCATGCTGAACCCAGACCTACGGCATAAGTACCACAGGGCAGGGACCCTTACCACGGGGAAATGAGCACAGTCACCCGTCCAAAGTCACCGCGCCTGGGGCAGGGCAGGGTCTCATTCATCTTGGGATCACAAGACCCCAGCACAGAGCCTGGCATGGGAAAAGGGCAACTATCTGTTCAGTCACTGGGGCCAGTGCCCTCTGAGAGTCAACATGGTGCCAGAGCGCCTGGGTTCAGGTGCCAGCAAATCCCAGGGCTTGGTTGCCATGTGACTTTGGACAAATCCCTTCAGCTCAGCCTCAGCTGCCTCATCTATAACAGCGTTTTTCAACCGCTGTTCCGCGGCACACTAATGTGCCGTAGGTGCAGACAAGACAAGAATTTTATAATTTTTCACTATTTTGTTTACTTAATATTTCATAATAAAGTAATTATAAAATACTTTCTTTGTGTTTATTTGATTCCTATTCAAGAGAATTACTTTATATATAGTCAATATAGGCACAGAGTTAAATTTTTTAACATTTTCTAATGGTGTGCCTCGTGATTTTTTTCATGAAACAAGTGTGCCTTTGCCCAAAAAAGGTTGAAAAACACTAGTCTATAAAACAGGGGCATGAGTGAGGCTCAAAGGAGCTGCTCACGTGCAGAGCTCAGAGGGTTTGCTGATTTGTTCTGCCACCGTTACTGTCATTACTGCCCTGCTGCTGCTGCAGGGTCAGGACGAGGTGCCGACTCCCAGACTCCCCTTCAGGGAACAGCGGCCACAAGACCATCGCTGCGGGGGCTCCCGCAGGTCTCACCTGGACAGTGACTACCAAGATCTTCACCACCTGCAGCACCAGCTTGAAGGGCTTGCGGCCCTTGGCCCGGAACTTGTCACAGGGGCTCATGAAGAAGTACTTGAGCCGGCGGCGCAGGTCCTCTTCCTCCAGAGAGGCCGGAGGGGCCGGCGGAGCCCCTGCCGGGGTCCCATAGCCGAGGCCGGCGGTCCGGAGGTGCTCGGCGTCTGTGGGGACGGGAGAGAGCAGTGGGGACCGGACCCAGGCAGGCCCACCTCCAAAAGGCAGGCAGATCCCACATCCCAGCCAAGAAAGAATTCTGGGACCTAAGAAAACCTGGACGTCTACATTTATGGCTGTAGGCAGCAGCACTGCTCGGAGGCTGCAGATTCAAGTTTGGGACTCCAAGGGGCCCGCGTTGATAGCTGACCCTGATGCTCACTGGCACAGACGGGGCACCCAGACTCTCTGGGCTCCATTTCTCACCTGCAAAATGTGGCAACAGCATCTCTCACAGAATGGCGAGGATTTGATGCTACAAAGTCTATCACAGGGCTGGCGGTGTGACAGAATGTCAGGTGGTAAGAACGCCAGGACATCCCACCATTACTCCTGCTGATTTGTGGAGAGAATGAACTGCTCCCACTGGCTTCTCACAGGGCACTCAAGGCTCCCAGGCACATCCCAACTCCAGACCCCGGGCATGAACATGGGACTCAGCTACATCCTAGTATGTTCTGGAAAAACCCTTCCCACTCATCAAGACCTGATCTGTCCAGCTGACGCTCTAACAGCCACAGGCTTGGAGAAGGGAATGCCAACAATCAGGGCAATAGGGAATGCATTTGCTGAAGGCTCACTGTGGGTGGCAAAAGTTATTACAGCACTGCCCGCATGCCAGCTTGTGAGTGAATAGGGCATCTTTATTAAAGCTACTTGCTCCTGGAATCACACAGCCCGAGGACCAAATCCCAGGCCTGCCTCTTCCTGATCCGGGGACCTTCCTAAGTCTCAGTTCCCTCATCTGAAAAGTGGAAAAAGCCGGGGTGCTGGGGCTCAGTGGCTGAGCATCAACCCATGAACTAGGAGTTGGTCTTCCCTTCCCTGTCAGGCACATCCCGGGTTTTGGTCTCGATCCCCAGTAAGGGGCATGCAGGAGGCAGCCAATGATTCTCTCTCATCATTGATGTTTCTCTCTCTCCCCCCCTCTCCCTTCCTTTTGAAATCATTTTTTTTTTTTTAAGTGGAAGTTTAAAAAAAGTCTCCCTCTGAGGCTAAAGCCCTGAAAAATGCTTCCAGAATTCGAGCAGCTCAGCTCGAATCTCAGTAGTTCTTCAGGCGTCCGAGGCTATTCTAAGCACTGCTTGTTCCCCTCAAGCCCGACCAGCCTAAGAGGAAGGCCCAAGGTTTCGGCAACTGCTGGGGTCACAGCTGGTCACAGCAGCCCAGAACTGTCTCTGACACCCACCCCACCCCTACTGGGAGAACCCAGCTTCTTTCCAGGACCTGGTTGCCTCCCCCCTCCCCACACCCCCCTCCAGCCTGGCACTGCCACCAAGATGATTGTGGCCGCTGCCAGAACCCGTTCTGCAGGGATGGCCAGCTCCTGACTGGTCCCATCCCTTAGGAGTTTGGATGCTTTTGCAGTTAGTCTACAAGAGAGCTGGATGGAAGCCAGAGGCAGGCCGGCCTCTCTACCTGGGATCACAGTTAACCCATCCCAGACCCTACCAGTGAGACCCTTTTAGGTGTATCCAGCTAGCTCTAGAAGGGAAGACCAACACGAAGGGCCTTCCTCCAGGCTGCCCCGGGAGAGGTGGAGACTGAAGAGGTTGGAGGCTGGGCACCCAACGCCTGAACTCAGGAAAGCTAAGCTTCCATGGGTTTGGAGCTCTAAAATGGAGTAGAGCGTCTAGGCTCAAGGAGGCAACACCTCAATCCTCGGCCTGAGTTTAGAGCTGAGCATTCACCTCCTGGATTGGGGAAGGAAATCCTGGGAGTCTCGTGCGGGATGGAGACACCGGCGCCCGCCGAGTTCCAGCAAAGCTGAGCAGTCGCAACCTAGGCTCAGGATGGGAGCCCCGCTGCCCCGCATCGGAGAGGCTGGCGGGGGCCCGCTCGCTGTGGGAGTTCAGGAACTCTAAGCACAGCCTGGGCCCAGGAAGGGCCGCCGGGAGCCCCGCACTCCGTGTTGGAGAAGCTGGTGCCCACCCGCCTCCCAGGTTCTAGGCGCCCAAATCTCCGCCGCCGAAAGCTGCGAGGCCGGCACGGGAGTTCGGGGAAAGGGAAACCGGTACTCCGCCGCCCCAAGTCGGGGCAGCCCGCCGCCCGCCCGCCGCCCGCGACCTCACCTGAGCCACCCCAGCCCGCGGGGGCCGCCATCCCGGGGCGGGAGCGCCGGCCGCGGCGGAGCAGCCAGGGCACCAGCGCCCGCCGCTGTCACTGCGGGCTCGCTCCCTCGCGGTGCCGCTTCAAACCCTTGCGCGTCAGCTGACTCGCGCCCCGATCACGTGACCAGGGCGCTCTGGGAGGCACGTGACAGGATGCGACCCAGAGCCCTGCGCTGGGACCACGCCTGCCATAACAGTGTGCGCGCGCACCAACGCTGGTGACTGGCCGGCCGAGGACGGTCGCGAGGTCCTAGCGCCGACGGGCGAGCAAGATGCTGGGACACGGGCTGGCTCCGTCCTGCCAGCATCTTGACTTCCATGTCCGTGATGTCCGTACATCATTTTAAGGATTGTTTCCCTCCATTCTCCCAGGAAATTCCTGATTACTCTCCAGTCCTTACTCTTCGGCCCCTCTTATGACCTATCTGCAAATCCTATTTCACTTCCTAATTATATCCCAAATAGGCCCACTTATTCTCACTTTTATAGTTCTCAGCCCAGAGGCCCCACCATTCCAGGCCAGGACCACTGCAGCAACTTCCTCTCTGATCTTAGACTCCCACTCCTGACCCCTTCCATTACACTCTCCACTCACAGCCAGACCATCTTCAAAGAATAATTCATATCAGTCCTCCCCCAGAACCTGCGAGTGACTCCCCATTTCTCTGAGATGACAAACTTGGGCAGGGCTGGCCACAAGGTCAGGATTGGCATTTCTCTGAGATGACAAACTACCAGAGCCTTCTGATCCTCCACCACCTCCCCCCTTAGTTCATCTTTCTTTAAAAAAAAAATTTTTTTCCCCCCCCATTAACTTCACAGAGGAAGATAGAAACATCAGCCTGAGCATGTGCCCTGACTGGGATTTGAACCATGACCTCCTGGTCAATGCTCAACCACTGAGCAACACTGACGGGCCCCTAGTTCATCTTTCAATGGCCCGAGTCTCTGGTTAAGAACATGGGGGGAGAGGCAGATAATTCAGGTTAAAATCTAGGTGCTGCCAACAGCCATTTCTTGTCTCCCAGAGTCCCTTAAAGTCCAGTGCCTCATTTGCCAAACGGGATGCTCGGCCACAGCTGCTGCTATATGGAGCTGTTGCATTGAGAAAATGCAAAAGCAGCACCGGCTGGGCAGTGCTGATGATTGAATTAGTGGACCTTCCTTGAGAAAGCTGTCCCTGAACAAAATCTGAAGTCTTATATCCATTTAGAATGTACTAGAGCATGTAATTACTTTCTAAATGTTTCCAAATTTGGTATCTGTGAGCTCTCAATCGATGTTTATTGAATGCATACATGAGCAGCCGCCTTTGTCCAGTGGTGTGCCTATGATGTGGACTTCGAAGGCCAAGGGGTAAGCTGGGGGAGCAGACCCGGCAGGAATGCCCCATGGCTTCTTGTCAGCCCCCATTACCAGCCCCTAATTTCAGCAGCCAGCAACCCCACCATCAGCTCCACTGAAGGGAAGAGGTGCTCTCAGACCACCTGCAGGTCAGTCTGCTCCTCACTAAGGTGACCAGGTTTGGCGGAGCAGAGTGGTAACTGCTGGGATGGGGGAAGCTTGGAGGATGTCAGGGGAGCCAGAACATTAGGATTCCAGGTGCATGGCTGGCTCAGGCCACACCTTCCGTTTCCGAGGAGCTGTGCATTAGGGGGGAAAAACCGAAGAACCATGAAGCAGAGCCAGCGGGCAGTGGGAGGATTTTACTAGCTGCACAACACAACTTCTCCGGGCCTCAGAGGCTGGCAGCCCTCTCAGCCGTCAGGCCCCAGCAGTGCCCCTCGCTCCTCCGCCCTTTCGGGATCCTCACAGGTAGGGAGGGCCGAGCTGTCGTGGGTGGGAGAGCTGGGGTCAGGGCGGGACTTAGGGCTGGGGTTGGGGCTGGGACTGGGCACAGGATCTGGGTCCGAGCTGTGACCAGGGCTGGCCACAAGGTCAGGATTGGCATCATAGCCGGGCTTAGTGTCAGGGGACTGGACAGGATCAGGGGTGAGGGTAGATCCAGAGCCAGGGCCGGAGCTGGGGCCTAGGTCAGAACCAAGCACGGAGGCAGCCTCAGAACCCAGCAGGGAGGCCTGCCCGGGCCGCACCACGGAAGCAGGGCTAAGGCCCAGGCCGGCGGCAGCAGCCGTGGCTGCCGCGGCCGCCGCGGCCGCGCCCTCGTGCACCCTCTTGTGCTTGGTGAGGCTGGAAGCCTGGCCGAAGGCCTTGCCGCAGAGCTGGCAGCGGTAGGGGCGCTCCCCGGAATGCACGTGCAAATGCTGCAGCAGCGCCGAGCTCTGCCCGAAGGCCTTGGCGCAGTGGGGGCAGGCGTAGGGCCGCTCGCCCGTGTGGATGCGCAGGTGGTGTTGCAGGTTGGAGCTCTGGCCGAAGGCCTTGCCGCAGTGGGGGCAGCGGTAGGGGCGCTCGGCCGTGTGCGTGCGCTGGTGCTGCAGCAGCGCCGAGCTCTGGCCGAAGGCCTTGCCGCACTGAGGGCACGGGTAGGGCCGCTCGCCCGTGTGCGTGCGCAGGTGCTTGAGCAGCGCGGAGCCCTGGCCGAAGCCCTTGGCGCACACCGGGCACTTGTGCGGCCGCGGGCCGCCGTGCGTGCGCAGGTGCTGGGCCAGCAGCGAGCCGTGGCCGAAGGCCTTGCCGCACACCGGGCAGTGGTGGGGCTTCTCGCCGCTGTGGCTGCTGCGGTGCTTCAGCAGCGTGGAGCGCCAGCCGAAGGCCTTGCCGCAGGCCGCGCACTGGTAGGGCCGTGCGCCCGTGTGGATGCCCCGGTGCTGGGCCAGCGTGGCGCCGTGGCTGAAGGACTTGCCGCAGTCGGGGCAGCGGTAGGGCTTCTCGCCGCTGTGGGTGCGGCGGTGCTGGCTGAGCCCCGAGCTGCGCCGGAAGGCCCGCCCGCAGTCGGGGCAGGAGAAGGGCCGGGGAGGGCTGGCCGGGGCCGGGATCACCGCCTGGCTGGCGGCCAGGCCTTCCGGGGTGGCGGGACGGCTGGAGGAGAGGGGGTCCAGGTCTGGGGCTTCCGGGGGACTGAGGGTGTCGCTGTTAGGGTCAAGAATCAGGGGCACTGGGCCAATGACGTCTGGATCGAGATCAGGACTTGAAGACATGGGGTCGAGATCTTGGGGATCCGTGGCGCGGGTCCCCACCATGGCGCTTGGAGGCTCCGCATCAGGGTCCAGGTCATCGGAGGCGGGCTCTAGCTCTTCGTAGCCGGGGCCCACGTCTTCGGAGACGGCGCTGAGGTCTTCGGGGTTGGGGTCCAGGTCTTCCGAGTCTGAGCCGAGCTCTTCATAGGCAGCCCCTGGGCCTTTGAGGCCTGGGTTCCTGACCAGGACCGAGCGCCGCATCCTGGGTGTGGAGGTGCCAGCTGCTTCCAGGGCAGGATCTGTAGGGCGAGGACAGGGTGGGCAGAGGTAGGTTCTGGGGAGCAGGGGGTCTGTTTTGGAGCCCGGGCAGGGATGGGGTAGGTGGCCAAGCTGTGCCCAAACCCACTTCTGAGCATACACAGGGTCCTTCTTGTTCTAGACCGCGGGCTGGCTTGTGACTCGGCCTGGCCAGGGCCAGAGAAGACCCCGGTGGGACAGGAGGGCCCTCCCCTCGCAGCCTCACACCTGGACGGAAGTCATGGGACCTGGCACTGGAGGTCTCCAGTGCCCAACTCCATGGCTCTGCCCCTCTCTGCACCCTGGACTCCCCTGTGGGAAGCGGGTCCTGCAGAGAGAGTCCTAGCTTCCTACCCGGGGAAGAGGGTGGGTGTCCGGGATCCCGAGCCTGCTCCTAAGCCCACGGCCCTAATTCCTGTCCCGTGGTCCGAGGTGGCCTGTTTGGGGGTTTCTGGTAGAGTGGGGGGCTTCTGGCTCAAGAGCTAGAGATAAAGCATCCTGAGCTTAGAAGCCTATAGGGGGGATGAAGAAGGGGGAGGGGCAGACACCTGGCAGTGGTCTGGGGCCTTGGGGAGTGCTGGGGCGCCTGGCTCACTCCCTGGGGGGAGAGACGGCCTGGGTGCCCAGCCTCACAGTTCCGGAACAGCCGTGTTCCCGAATGCCGGTTCCTACAGCCAGAGCGGGAGGCAGGGAATAACATGGGGGGGGGGGGGGAGTGGAGGGAGACCATGGGTCCCATGTGGGGCACCTGTTGCCCAACTGGATAGAAGATTCTGAATTCCAACCTCTAGCTGGGGACTGGGCAGAAATAACACCCGTGGCCCCTCTGGGTGAGGGGGACCCGAGCTGAGGAGGAGGGGACTGCGGAGTGCCTGGCGGTGAGGCGGGGGTACGGGCAGTGTGTCGGACACGGATGTCCCTGAGGAAGCTCTGAATCCAGGCTGGCGGTGGGGGAAGGGGGTGGAACAGCAGCGGGGACCCGCTGGGAGCAGGGGGGCTCAGGACGGCCTGAGGGAGGTGGTGCCTTAAGCTCCCACCCGGGGCTGGTGTTGGGGGGACAAACAGACTTGTTCCTCTCCCCGCCACAGCCCACAGCTGGGGGTGGGCAAACAAATGGGGGTGCCCAGGGCCTAGATCACCCCCTCTATCTACCCAGGGCCGCAGGTTGGAAGGTGGGGGGGCCGACGCCTAGGTCCCTCCTGGCTCCTGCGTCGCCCCGCAGGGAAGTGGCTCCAGCCTGGAGCGTGAGGGACAATGGCCGGTCCCGGGGGCGGCCACCCGGTCCCTCCTGAGGAGGGGCCTCCGGAGCTCCAGCCCGGGGCGCGGAGAACAATGCGGGCCCTGCGGGGTGTCTGGGCGGAGGGTCCGATCGCCTCTGGAGCGGGGCGTCCTGAGCTCCGGCCACTCCGGGCCCATCCTCCCTCCGAAGGCGCCGGCGCGGCCCCCTGGGCGCAGCGGGTCAGGCGCGCCAGGCCGGGGCCGGCCCCTCGCTCCGTGCACGACCCCGCGCTCCGGCCTCGGCCTCGGCGGCGCCCCCCGGGCCGCCCCCCGCACGGCCCCGGCCCGCTCCGCCCGCCCGCCCGCCCGCCCGCGGGGACACTCACCCGGCGCCCCGCGCCCCTGCCCGGCCCGCCGCTCCCGCCGGCGCCCCGGGCCCGCAGCCAGCGCCCGCCCGCAAGCCCCGCGGCGGCCCCTTCGGCCCAGCGGCCCGCCAGGCGCTCCGGGATCCAGGGGGGCGGCCGGCCGCAGCGGGCGCTGCTGGGACTTGTAGTTCCCGCCCCGCGGCCTCGGCCCCCGCCCCCGCCCGCAGCCTTTGTCCCGACCCGCTGCCCAGCCGCCGGGCCGAGCCCTGTCCCCGCCGCGCCCGCCGGCCCAGCCCCGGGCCGCCCTCTCCTGCCGGCCTCCCGCCCAGTCTCTCCACCCCGGCTACCCTGTCCCTGCCCCTTTCTCCATCTCTGTCCCTCTGGATCTATCTCTAGTCCTTTCTCTGCGTCTCCATTTCCAACGTTTGCCTCTGTACCTCCCTCTCCCTCCTACCTCTGTCTCGAACTCTGTCTTTGGTCAAAAAGCACCATTTTGTCTCTGTCTCTCAAGACTGGCAATGCACATAAGCATAATCAAGGCTCTGAGAAGCCCTGCAGTTTACAAACTTCTTTATCTTTGCTTAATCCAGCGTCTCCCTGTCAGGCCCGGAGGAAGAGCTGGAGATTCTGTCCTGAGTGTGTCCCTCTGCCCACCCAGTGGAGGGCCACTCCTGCTGTCACCCTGAGCCGATCCCCTGGGTGAGGTCTCTGGGAGAAGCCTGGGCGGAGGCTGGGAAGGTCCGGGAGCATTTCCTGGAGACAGGATCCCCACGAAGAGGGAACGAAAGAGCTGGCGGCTGCAGCTGGGCCAGGATGTTCTTCACCGAACATAAACGGCAGTCACAGGACATAAACAATGAGCACACAAGGCCACTCTGTGGCCACATCTGCGCCAAGCCAGAGACAGCACTGCAGCCACAAAAGTGAACACACAGCCCTCCTGACCCACTGCAATGCCGCTGCTTCTTCCCACTGCTTATCCGCCTCTGAGATAAACTCCCCCCTCTGCTCCCGGCCCCCTGTCCGCTCCAAACACCCCCTCTGCTCCCTGCCCCCTGCCTGCTCCGAGGAAGGCTCCTGCGCTCTTCCCTCTGCTCAGAACTGCCCAGCACATGTCCCGATCCCATGAGATGCTCGTCTGCCCTCGGCCCTCCGCGCCCCCCCCCCACACTCCCACTCTTACAGACGCGCTCCGTGGTCCCCCAGTACGTAGGCTTCGTCGCTGGAGCGAGCTAACCAAGCTTTGAGCACAGGCGTGTTTCTGGTGGCCTTTGCCTGGTGAATTTTGACACCACCTGCCCTTGAGCAAATCAGGATTCTAGGAGCAGTCTCTCTTCCTTCCCGAACCTTCTAGATCTGTGCTTGCCTGTGGCCGGAGGCCTGCTTCTCAGCTCTTTGTGGAAAAGCCTGTAGCAGGTCTGAGACCCGGGACGGCAATTGGATTCTGTTGCTGGTTCGTCATCCTGCCACCTCCTGGATGACCCTCCTGCAGGTCATACTCGTAATGCCAGCTGCTGTTTCTGTCTGCTTATGTCTCCACCAGCACCCGCTTCCCCTCTGTGGCTCCGGTCCCCTCCACTTCCCCGATGGACCCCGATCTAACACATCCACCCGTCCCTCAGGACCTACACTTACCAGGAACCCCATCCCCTGGCCACAATCGGTAGGTCTGGGATGAGGACATGCCTTTGAGGGTCTCATTCTTCTGGGGTTATGAGCTTTACACAGAGCCCATTCTGCCTGCAGTCATCTTCCTTAGTGGTCTGGAAGGACAGTCTGCAGACTGAAGCCAACCTGCACTGGGATGCAAAGGTGAGACACAGCTCCGGCCATATTGGTTCGGCTCTTGGTTATAACCACACCTGAAGCCAGAAGCCCTCCTTCTCTATTATGAGCCAACACATTTCCTGGGCATTTGAGCTACTTTTACTGAGTTTCTGTCCTTTGACTAATTTAGAAATGGGCAAGTATTAAAGGAAATAAAATCTGAGCTTGGCAGAGCAGAGGATGTGGCTGCCACATCCTATATAATAGGGGTGTCGAACTCAATCAGAGAAGGGGCCAAAATCTAAAATCCAGCCTAAATCGTGGGCCGAATGGTTTACTGAACAGTCATAAACTGTCATTGTGATGGAAACGCAGCGGAGTGCAGTGATGACAGTGCAGTGCGGGCCACATTGCAAGGCCTGGCGGGACGGATTTGGCCCACGGGCCTTGTGTTTGACACATGTGCTATATAATAATTCTATATAATAAAAGGGTAATATGCCAATCAACCGAACAGCTGAATGACTGGTCACTGTGATGCACACTGACCACCAGGGGGCAGACGTTCAATGCAGAAGCTGCCCCCTGGTGGTCAGGGCACTCCCACAGGGGGAGCTCCCCTCAGCCAGAAGCTGGCTGCCGGGGAGCAGGACTAAGCAGTCAGTTAGACATCCCAGGAGGGCTCCCGGACTGCAAAGGGTGCAGGCTGGGCTGGGAGACCCCTCCCCAGTGCATGAATGGCGGGCCTCTCGTACATATATATTCATTCTAAAGGGAATAGGGCTTCCAAGGTTTGTACAGTGCACAACCTGCCCATCTCTGTTGAGAACAGTCCTCCCCAGGAAACGGAACCTCTGTTGTGTGAAAGAAAAATAGCTGATTAAGTTGTTTCTGTTTTGTCTTGGGACTCTACCCACGTGTTTTCCAAGGCTGCGGCTCACGGGCTTCAGAGGAAAATATCAGGGTGCTGTGATATAAACAGAGATTAGCATCTGCACAGTCTTGTGAGGATGCCAGAGCGGAATTCTCCGCCCCAAACGAAGAGGGTTAGTTATGAGGTAGGAGGTAAAATTGGGATTACCAGAGAATTGGGGGTGGGGAGGTCCTCAAACACTGAGCTCTCCCTGTCTGCACAGGAAGCGTCACCTCCCAGGGAAGAATCTATTGGCTGTCTTTCCACCTTCCAGACTGTAACCTGGGGTGAGACAGGTCTTAAGGGGATGGGCAGGCTCAGGTCTGTTGCTAGAGACAGAATCCGGCAAGGTTGGGCTCCACACGCAAAGATCCTCAGGTGGACCGGAACCGGATCACTTGGTGGGTGAGCGAGCTGGGACGTCCAATCTGGGCAGTGAAGGTCGCGCTGTGCATGTGACTCCAATAGGCCAATCAGAGTGTTCCTAAATTCCAACGTGGGTTGGGAGGGGGCGGTGACCCTGTTTCCTTCGAGGCTTTAATTCTAAGGATCTGCAGTACCTGGTGTTTGTTTGTTTTTGTTTGTTTGTTGCCACCAACTGGGGACTCAGGGTTGTTAGGTTGTGAGGAAGAGTCCCAATGTGGATCCAGCATGCCTGATGTTAGACCTAATTCCAGACTTCCTTGGTTCTAAGTTAATAAAATCCCTTCCCGCTGGAGCTAGCACTGAGTTCTTGTCCCTTGCAACAAAAATGACTTAAGACACTGACACAACTTAGGCACCATTCATGGAGCTCTGCAGCCGCGGGCGGGGTCATGCACATGTTATTTAACCCTTGTAACCACTCCGCGAAGGAAGAGCTATTGCCACCCCATCCGACCAATGAGGAGCGCGAGGGTCAGCGTGAAGTCACTTGTTGGAGGACAGAAAGGCGGGTGAGGACAGGTCTGAACTCTGCTGCTCGGTGATGCTTACCACGGACAAAGTTGTTTTCCTTTGTGTTCTGTCCTCATTTTATTTCACAAACCCTTCTGGGCTTTGTCGTTCTCAGGAGACGCCTTTTTCAGAGGTGGTAGGACACAGGAGGGAGCGACACAAAGAACACCCAGAATCACCAAGATGCCTTTCTGCGCTGGCTGAATGTTTCCGGGAAGGCTTCTTTTCTCTCTGGGAAACCCATCCTGGGACTGGTCAGTCGTTATTGAACATTGCTTCAATGTTTGCTGCAATCTGTCTCCTGGTAAGTCCTACCCCTTGTTTCTCACCTGGTGTCGGAGTTGCCTTAAGGCACTGCTGGAACCAGGCAGGAGCACACACACTCTGCAGCTGGTGCTACACGGACCTGAGCGCCAAGCAAGCTTCCAGGGCGGCTGGCAGGCAGGGCCAGAGGGAAGGCCTGGGTGGGGTAGTCTGGTCAAGAAGCAGACCAGCTTCAGCAGGACCACCTGGTTTTGTCCTGGGAATCACCATACGAAGAATTTACTGCCACAGTCCTCAACCAGGCAACTCTCCCCAGGGGGCATGTGGCAATATCTGGAGACCGTTTGGCTGTCACAGCTGGTGGGGGGAGAGGGAGAGTCTCAGGGCATGGGATCGTTGAAGGTCAGGGAGGCGGCCACACTCCTACAAAGCACAACATGTCCTCCGAGAGCAAAGAGTGATCGTCTCCGTTTGTCCATCACGCCGAGAAGGCAGCTCTGGCTTCTCCTGAGGGCATTCGGTGAGTGCTGTGCACACCTCCAGCGGAAGCGGGCGGCCGAGGGGTTCTGCGGCCAGCAGACCCTCCTGGTCACCATGTCACCAGGCGTGCCGCCAGAGGGCCCTCGGGTCTCTGACAGCTGTCTCCTCTCCTCTCCTCCCCTCTCTGTGGCAACAACACAGCCTCACGGAGCAGCTGCCCAAAGGGGAAGGCTCCTGGTCGGGCTTGGGCTTGGCTTTTAATGGCCCTTGTGCTTGGGATACAGGAGGGAGCGACACAAAGTACATCCAGAATCACCAAGATGCTGTGTGACCATATTCATTATGTCTGTTTTTTTTTTGTTGTTTTTTTTTTAATCCTCACCCGAGGATCTGTTTATGATTTTAGAGAAAAGGGAGAGAGAAACATTGAACTGTTGCCTCCCATATGTGCCCCAAACCAGGATCAAACCCAAAACCCAGGTACATGTACTGACCAGTATGGAACCCTCAGCCTTTTGATGTGCAGGCTGACACTGCGACCAGCTGAGCCCCCAGCCAGGGCAGGGGTTAGGGTTAGGGTTAGGGTTGCCAGGGTGGTGTTTTGGAGATCTGACTGCAGAGTCAGGGAGTCATATTCATCATGTCTATAATAATAAAAGGGTAACATGCTAATTAGACCAGCCATCCTCCTGACATCATTCCAGACGTCCTTCCTGGAGGAGGAGGAGAAGCTGGAGAAGGAGGGAAGCCAGCCTGGTCCCTGGTGCCTGTGAGCAGCCAGAGGAGGGAAGCCCAGGGCCCAGGTGCCGGAGGGAAGCCGTGCCAGCAGCCAGGGGAAGCCTACTCTTGCATGAATTTTCCTGTACCGGGCCTCTCGTGTGTATAAATATATATATATATATATATATATATATATATATATATATATATATATATATATATATACACACACACACACACTGTATTTTCCGGCAGATAAGACGACTTTTGAAACGAAAAAAAGTCAACCAAAAATCGGGGGCAAAAGACCAAAATTGCACAAAAATTACCTGCAGATCTTGACGGCAAAGTAAGTCTTTTCTCTGAAGTGGGGGGTAGTCTTATACAGCGAATATAGGCCTAACCCTATGTTTTAACTGTAAAAATTTGGGGGTCGTCTTATACGCCGGAAAATACGGTAATTGATTTCAGAGAGGAAGGAAGAGAGAGATAGAAACATCAGCGATGACAGAGGACCATTGATTGCACGCCCCCCAGAAGCAGGGCTTGTGCTCTTTACCTGAATCGAACCCGGGACCCTTCAGTCCGCAGGCCAATGCTCTAACCCAGTGGTTCTCAACCTTTTTAATGCCGCGACCCTTTAAGACAGTTCCTCATGTTGCGGTGAGCCAAACCAGCGAGGGCCACATTCATTCTTTCTCAACAGCCTACAGAGGCAGGTCCCGGGGATGGCCACCAAGACCCACCTTATCCTTGATTGAACCACCCAGCTTCTTGGTGACCTGCCAGACCCCAGACCTTCGAGGTAGGTGCTGTCCCAGGTTCTGGTCCTTTCCATCCTTGCTAAATGGGTTACCCATGGGCTTCAGCATCCCTTTCCCACCCTTTCATCTTGTTGCTGGACACCTGCGCCTTGAACCCCGCCATGTCCTGGTGGATTTTGTGAGTTCTGACTAGTCACCCATCCAGCCAATGCTCTTGCAGCCTCTGCCCACAGGGAGGGACTGGGGACCAATATCTATCGTGTTGACCCCTTCATACCCGCTCTGAGCGCTACCCAGTTCTTTAAGGACTGAAACCCCCTCACACCTTCATCTTCTTCACCTTCTCACCTTTACTGTCAGAAGGTAAGCTCTCTCCCTCCTCTACCCCAGCCACACATTTCTCATTTATGACATTCACCGAGAGAGCTGCTGTTTACCTCCATTCTACAGATGACCAGACTGAGGCCAGAGGGTTAATTTACTTGCCCAATGCTATAACCTATTCTAGGGCATGGAGAAGCCAGGATTTGGACTTTGTCCGTCGGCCACAGAAGCCTGCATTCTCAATGTCTTGCCACGCTGCCTCTGTTCAACGCTAACTCCGTCCGCCCCATGTCCTTCATCAATTGTCATGGCAACTGAACATTTTATACCCACTCTGCCCACACACTGGCAAGGCCTCCCTACCCAGAGTGGGGCAACCTCATTCTTTCCTGTCGGCCCCCATTCATCCACGCATCCTCTTTCCTGTCTGATTGACGGAGAGGGACTGGGTGTTGCCAGGGTGGTGTTTATTGCTGGGTCGGGCACCGGGGGGCCTGAGGTTCAACCTTCCCACCCCAGCAGCCCGCCAGGTCAGAGGAGCCCAGTGTCAGGTGGCTTTCCTGGAAGTTGGTGGACTTCAGCGCGGGTGGGCCCTTGTACTTGAAGGTGTACTGGTCCTTGTACTGGCTTAAGAAGCAGCGCTGTCTACCCAGCGGGGGCTCCACGTGGCTGTGCTTGCACTGTGGAATCGGGGTGGTAGCCTGGCAGGGCAGCCTGGAGGGGGGCTCACCTCCCCCACCCCCACCCCCGGGAGGATCAAAGCTTGGTCATGGGCTCTGGGGAGGCGGGCAAAAGGGACCCCAGTTTGGGCTGACCCAGGAGCTGAATGAGCAACTGGGGGAGTGGCTGGAACAACCCCAAGGGCTGGTGTGACTCCAGGCAACCCTGAGCTAACCCTCATGTGTGGTCTGACCGTGGGCTGGATGTAGAGATGTTTCTGAGCTGGCCCTGGCAGGGCCCTGGGAGGAGCTGGGGTGATCTTGAGTCTGGGGTGACAGAGATAACCCTGAGTTTGGAGTGGACCTGACACTAACTCTGAGTCTGCAGTGACATTATAAGCTTCCTGAGGTACCTCCACACTGACTGGGGGTTCCCTGGAAAGGGGGTGCCCCTCCCCCCTCACCCGCTGCAGCATCTCCTGGGTCACCGAGGCCGGAGCTATTCTGTGTGGTTTCAGCATCTTCTGGTTCGTGGTTAACAAATCTGGTTCTGGAGATTTGAGTGTGGGTGGCTCAACGGAGGGGCTGAGGGGAGAGGTGGACGCGGAGGGAGGAACGGAGGAGGTCGGGAATGGGTAGGGGTTCAGGGTGCAGCTGGGCCAGCGCTGAGGTTGCATTAGGAGGCGGGCAGCAGACCAGTAGATGTGAGCTGGGGGTGAGGCCAGGCAGGTGGGAACCCAGCCAGAGCCTGACTGAGGAGAGGGTGGTGCAATGGTGGAGGAGGAGGTGGGGGGTGGGTAGCCATGACTACGGGGGGCGGGTTATCCAGGGCCAGGGTTGGGGACTTGGTCAGTGGGTGGAGGTAGCCCTCCTGGGAGTAGAACCAGGATGCGGCCAGAGCTGGGGGAGGGGGACTTCGGGGAGGAGGTCTCACTCACTGCCAGTGCCCTTCGGCACGTTGCTTGGCAGCAGGTGCAGGTTGGGTGCTGCCTCGGGCCGCTGTGCGCTGGTGGGGTAATAGTCCGAGCCCATGGTGGTCTGGAAGAACTGTCCCAGCAACTTGGACTCCCCTAGGATCACGTGATCCTGCAGCTGCTCATGAGGAAGGTGGCGGCTGTTTGGTTTGGTCACCGGTGGCGGCTGCGGGACCACATGACACTAGGAAGCTCCCATGTCCGGGATGTCCCCAGGCCCCGTCGGAGGGAAGAGGTGTACGACTTTAAGACAGCTCCCACCCTCTCTGGACCCCACTTGATGGCATTCAGATTGGTCTTCTCTCGTTTCGCAGACAGGGTCCCTGAGGCTGGTGATGGTTGAGGGGCTGACCCTAGGTCACACAAATAGATTCAGGAGAGCACTGCACACACATCAAGCTTACTCCTGCCTCAGGGCCTTTGCACATGCCATTTGCTCTACCTGGGAAGCCCTCCCGCTCCCCCCGCCCCATGAGCCCTGCCTCCTCCCCCACTGACCTGGCCGTAGAAGAAGTTCATGGAGGTGGTGAGGCTGCCTGGACCAGGGCGCCAGTCCCCTTCCAGGATGTGTGACTTCGGAGTCTGGTCACTATGAAGAACGAACGGCTCTGCCGGGGCAGAGCGGGGCTCAGCAGCTCAGGAGGCCGCCCGGGAGCCCGGCCGGCCGGCCCTCAGCCTCACCTGGCTCCCGCCCGTAGAAGTGCTCGGCACTGGTGGTCCTGCCGTGGAAGCGGCCGTCTCCAATGCTGCCAGGGTGCACGCAGGCTGCGGCCTGGGCCCTGTCATGCCTGCATGTGAAGGGCGGGGGTTGGAGGAGGGGGAGGCAACCATCTGTTCTGGGCCCTGGAAGCTCCCAGGAAAAGGGATGGGGGCAGGGTTCCGGTGGTGCTAATGGTGGGAGGCCTGGCGCACAGGGGGCCTAGTCTGCATGCAATAGGCACAGAGGCACAGGGCTGGCCCACTGCCTTTGGTGGCACACTACCCATTGCTGAGAGCCCTGTGCCCTGTCCTGGTGGTGGGCCATGGCCCCTCGGTACCTGACTAGGGGCAGATCCGGGGGCCTGTAGGCTTGCTTCTGCTCGGAATGCATGGGCCCATAGCCAATCCTGACGTCTCCCAGTGACACACTGGAGGAGTCCTGTGAGTGCACAGGGGTGGAAGGCAAGGCCACCAGCCCGACCACTGCCCTTCCCGGCCGCACTGCAGACTTAACTTACCCTCTTACACATCAGGGCAGGCGGGCCCCTCAGGGCCTGGAACTGTCTCTGGTAGGAGGTCCTGTCGTCCCATCTGTGGTCCCATCTCCTGTGATCCCACCTGAGGGGGGAGGGGCCCCCTGAGGGGGCAAGATCGCCCGGAGAGAATGGGGTTAGGTCCCTGCAGCCTCAGGCCCACTGTGGCAGTAAGCAGTCGGCCTAGCTTAGCCTGAGGGCTGCTTGGCAAACACCAATAGCAATAACAATAACAATAACAATACAATAACAACTAGCAAGGACTGAGCCAGAAATCTAGGGTAAGTGCTTTGCACCTCCTTGGGGGTGGGAGGGGGGTGCTGGCATTAGCCCCTCCTTCACTTCGCAGCCTCAGAGCCCTTAGAAATCACAGGAATGCAGCCCCGGCTGTGTCTCCGTGGGCTGTGGGCTGGGCATGGCACCAAACGGCTGCAGGTTCATTCCCGGTCAGGGCACAGGGCACTGCTGGGCTTCAGGCTCCATCCCTGGTGGGGGTGAGGGTGGGGGGGGGGGCGCGTGAGGCGGGGCACGTGCAAGAGGCGGCAGAATGATGTTTGGTTCTCACATCAATGTTTCTCTCCCTCTCCCTCTCCCTTTCTCTTTTTAAAAAATCAATAAAAATTTTAAACGGAGAAGGAGAAGGAGAAGGGGAGGAGGAGGAGGAGGAGGAGGAAAGAAATCACAGAAATCACAGAAATTCAGAACCAGAGCTGAGTCAGGTCCAGGTCTGACAATCCCTGGGCCCGCGCGCTCCTCGCTGACTGAAGGGACTCTGACTAGCGATCTCCACAAGCAGGGCCCCTAGACCCATGGTGGGCAAACTGCGGCTCGCGAGCCACATGCGGCTCTTTGGTCCCTTGAGTGTGGCTCTTCCACAAAATACCACGGCCTGGGCGAGCCTATTTTGAAGAAGTGGCGTTGGAAGAAGTTTAAGTTTTAAAAATTTGGCTCTTAAAAGAAATGTCAATCATTGTACTGTTGATAATTTGGCTCTGTTGACTAACGAGTTTGCCGACCACTGCCCTGGACTAAGAATTGGAAACCGGTGAATGAAGGCTGCTCTTTGGGGAGCGCTCACTCTCTGCCAGGGGCACCCCGCACTGTGGGCTCTGCTTCACCAGCTCCCGCGAAGGAAGCTCTGCCGGTGCCCCGCTTAAGGCCGAGAGGTCAACGGCTCAGGTGCTCAAGTCCTGAGGCAGCAGCGCCGGGGTGGGCGAGGGTCACTGACCCCCAGACACATTCAGAACTCCTGCCCCCGCACAGCCCCATGGGATCCAGGATGGGTGCAGAGTGAGGGTCCGGGGCTGGGTAATCAGTGCGGGGGGCTGTCCTGTGCACGGGAGGGTGTAAGCAGCACCCCGGCCTCTCTTCACGCCAGCAGCACCCCCTCCCCCAGTTGTGACAACCAAACCGATCTCCAGCCATTGCCAGGTGTCCCCTGGGGGCGGGCGCAGCGTCCCGCCCGCTTCGCGATCCTCTGGGTGGCGCACGGAGCGGAATGCGCGGGCGCTCACCGAGGTGGTGGCAGGACGCGCGGGGCTGCGGGCACGCCTCGCAGGGCGGGAAGAGCGCCTGGTACGTGGTGGGCGGGATGCCCAGCTTGGCCCTGTCGCCGAACGGCACCGAGTCGCGGTGGAAGATGAGGCGCGCGCCGCGGGCCTGCTGGCTGTGGCGCGCGGGCAGCTGCGGCCAGCGGAAGTCGGCGCGCGCGGTGGAGAGCGGGACGCCCCCGCGCGGGTCGGCGTGCAGGTGCAGGTGGCTGGCCTGCATGGCCAGCGTGCGCTCCCGCTCCAGCTCCCGCGACTGCGTGGCGTGCGGCATGAACGCCGCGTGCGACTCGGACACGCGCTCCTCGCCGGCCCAGCGCGCGTCCCGCTGGAAGAGGGTGGCCCGGGGCGGCGGCGCGCTGGGCGGCTCGGGGGCGGCGGGGCCGTAGGGCGGGAAGTCCCGGTGCGCCGTGGGCCGCTGGCCGCGCATCTGCAGCCGCGCGTCCGGCCCCAGCGCGAAGTGCGAGGCCTGGAGCAGCTCCCGCCCCACCACCGGGCGCTGCCGCTGGGCCCCCGCGGCCATGACCGGGCTCCGCGGCACCTGCGGGAGGGGGCGGTCTGAGCGGGGTGCCCGCCCGGGGGAGGGGCGCGGTCTGAGCGGGGTGCCCGCCCAGGGGAGGGGCGCGGGCTGAGCGGGGTGCCCGCCCAGGGGAGGGGGCGCGGGCTGAGCGGGGTGCCCGCCCGGGGGAGGGGCGCGGGCTGAGCGGGGTGCCCGCCCAGGGGAGGGGGTGCGGGCTGAGCGGGGTGCCCGCCCAGGGGAGGGGGTGCAGGCTGAGCGGGGTGCCCGCTCAGGGGAGGGGGTGCAGGCTGAGCGGGGTGCCCGCTCAGGGGAGGGGGCGCGGGCTGAGCGGGGTGCCCGCCCGCGGGAGGGGCGCGGGCTGAGCGGGGTGCCCGCCCGCGGGAGGGGCGCGGGCTGAGCGGGATGCCCGCCCAGGGGAGGGGCGCGGGCTGAGCGGGGTGCCCGCCCGGGGGAGGGGCGCGGGCTGAGCGGGGTGCCCGCCCAGGGGAGGGGCGCGGGCTGAGCGGGGAGCTCAGTTCACACAGCAGACAAGCCCTGGCTGGTTTGCTGAGTGGATAGAGCACCAGCCCAGCTGCCATTCCAGCCAAGGGCACAGGCCTGGGTTTCGGGCTCCATCCCCGGTAGGGGGCGTGCAGGAGGCAGCTGATCACTGAATCGCTCTCATCATTGATGCTTCTCTCTCTCACTTCCTCTCTGAAATCAATTAAAAAACATCTATCTATCTATCTATCTATCTATCTTTTTAAAAGGCCCAGAGCTCTGCTCTGAGGAGTTGACAATGGGCAGGGAGGTGACAGACCATAACATCACATGACAATATTGTAATAGAATGATGCTCTGTAAACCTATTACACATCACAGTTATAGTACAAACTAGTAATTGTAAATAAATTATTATGTATAATATAATAATATGCATTGCAATGTAAGTGGAAGGTGACCAGTGTTGTGGAAACTCAAGTCACACAGAGTGGAAGAATGGGGTTCAGGGTGAAGGATGGGGTTCAGGATGGGGGTTTGGGGGTTCAGGGGGGAGGATGGTGGTTCAGGGTGCGAGGATGAGGTTCAGCGGGGAGGATGGGGTTCAGGGGGGTATGGGGGTTCAGGGTGGGAGGATGGGGTTCAGGATGGGGTTCAGGGGGAGGATGGGGGTTCAGGGTGGGAGGATGGGGTTCAGGGTGGAAGAATGGGGTTCAGGGTGGAAGAATGGGGTTCAGGATGGAAAGATGGGGCTCAGGATGGAAGGATGGGGGTTTGGAGTTCAGGGGGCAGGAGGGGATTCAGGGTGGGAGGATGAGGTTAAGGATGGGGGTTCAGGGTGGGAGGATGGGGGTTTGGGGTTCAGGGTGGGAGGATGGGGTTCAGGGGGAAGGATGGGGTTCAGGATGGGAGTTCAGGGTAGGAGGATGGGGTTAAGGATGGGGTTAAGGGTGGGAGGATGGAGGCTTGGGGTTCAGGGTGGGAGGATGGGGTTCAGGGGGAGGATGGGGTTCAGGGTGTGAGGTTGGGGTTCAGGGTGGAAGGATGGGGTTGAGGGTGGGAGGATGTGGGTTTGGGGGGGAGGCTGCGGATGTAAAAAGGAAGGCATCTCTGAGGTGACAGGTGAGCAAAGGCCTGAAGGAGGTGGGAGGGGCCTCTGGCGCCTGCAGGGCAGCACTCCTGGCAGGTGTCAGCAGTGTCAGCAGGGATCAGAGGTGTCAGCAGGGGTCAGAGGTGTCAGAGGTGTCAGCAGTGTCAGCAGGGGTCAGAGGTGTCAGCAGGGATCAGAGCTGTCAGCAGGGGTCAAAGGTGTCAGCAGGGGTCAGAGGTGTCAGCAGGGGTCAGAGATGTCAGCAGGGGTCAGAGATGTCAGAGGTGTCAGCAGGGGTCAGAGGTGTCAGCAGGGGTCAGCAGGGGTCAGAGGTGTCAGCAGGGGTCAGCAGGGGTCAGAGGTGTCAGCAGGGGTCAGCAGGGGTCAGAGGTGTCAGCAGGGGTCAGAGGTGTCAGCAGGGGTCAGAGGTGTCAGAGGTGTCAGCAGGGGTCAGAGGGGTCAGCAGGGGTCAGCAGGGGTCAGAGGGGTCAGCAGGGGTCAGCAGGGGTCAGAGGTGTGGAGGCCCGGGGAGCAGGGAGAGCCGAGGATTGACCTTGCGCCCTGCAGTGTGTCTGTCTGAGAGGCGTCCTCTCCCCTCGCCCCCAGTCCGTGTCGGGCCTGGGCTCACCCCTCCATGTCCCTGCCGTCCCCTCCCCGGTGGCCCTGCCTCTGCAGCTGTCCTGACTGTTCCGGCCCCTTCCTGTCCGCAGACGCCTCGCACCCGTTCCTGACCCGCAGCTCCGGCTCCTGTTTCCTCGCTGGGACTTTCTTCCTCGGAGCGGAGGTGTCTCTCCCACCGCCCCCTCCCTGCCCCGCGGAGACCGGGCGGGGCCCGCCTCCTCCAGGAAGCCCGCCAGCCCGCACCGCCCACCTCCACTCCTCCTGTCGGCCTCAGGAGAGCCTGCATCAGGGCTCTCACCAAATCACAGGGCTAGTGTCTCAGCTGTGAGTTTTTGTTTTTGTTTTAATCATTTTGCCACCTGAACAGGTGAGCGTGAAGGAGGTGGGCATGGTTTACGGAAGAATCTGACCATTAGAGTGATTGCTGAGCCGCCTTGCAGTGCGTGGCTGGGCTCCTGAGCGCCTCGGCGTCCTCGGGGGTGGAGAAGGCGGGCACCTACCTCGAGGGGCGGCATGGGGCTCACGAGCCTCCCACAATGCACGTGGCACGGCTGGCCCTCAGGGCGCCCTCTGTCCCGCCCAGAGGACCCTCTCAGGCTCCTCCCAAGACCGCATTCAGGGTGCTCCGGCCCCTCCATTGTGACAACCACACCGCTGTCACAATGGCCCCCAGCAACTCCGGGGCAAGACCCCGGACCCTGCCTCCGGGCCTCAGGGAGCAGACCGGAGGGTCCCGCAGTCTGCTTTGTCCCCTGGAAGGTGGAGCTGGGATGGCAGCCACTCAGAAAGCAGCAGGGGATCCACACAGTGGCTGCGGGGTCTCCTCAGTGACCGAGCTCTCCTCTCCACCTGCTTCCAGCCCCCTGGCCAGCTGGGAAATCGGTCATTCCCGCCCTCTGTCCCTGCAGGGCCCTCCGACCTCCGAGGCACCCAGCACGCCAGGCCCGCCCCTCCCACGGCCCACGGCCACGAGGAACACGCGTGCGGTTGGACAAACCCGGGCTTAGGACTCAGGCAGCGGGGCAGAGCACACGCCAGGCAGCTGCGGGCGTCTCAGGAGGGTGTGAAGGGACGTGGACTCGTCTCAGGTGCTTCCGGGAGGTTTAACGAAGGGGGCTTTGGCCTGGCCGGTGTGGCTCAGTGGATAGAGCATCAGCTTGCCATACCCCTTCCTGGTGGCCCTGCCTCTGCAATTATCCTGGGTCCTGACTATTCCCTGACAAAAAAGTCCCGGGTTTGATTCCGGTCAAAGGCACGCACCTGGATTGCAGGTTTGGTCTCCAGCCCTGGTCAGGACACGAGTGGGAGGCAGCCAATCGATGTGTCTCCCATCGATGTTTCTCTCTGTCTCTTCCCCCTCCCTTACACTGTCTCTAAAAATCAATGGCTCAGTGGTGGGGAGCTGGCCTATCAACCAAGGGGTCACAGTTTGAAGGCTGCGGGCTCGATCCCCTAGGAGGCAGACGATCAATGATTCTCTCTCACATTGATGTTTCTATCTCCCTCTCCCTTCCTCTCTGAATCAATAAAAATAAAAACGAGGGAAAGAAAGAAAGAAAAAACCTAAAAGGATTAGAAAATTGGAAGCTTTAATAAAAATATTTTTTATTTTATTTTTTAAATAATTATTATTGAAAGTATTACATCTGTCCCCTTTTGTTCCCCATTGACTCCCTCCAGCCAGCCCGCCCCCTCCCCCAGACCTCAGCGCCCGTGGTCTGTGCCCTGGGCCACCCACAGATGCACACAGGTCCTGGGTTGATTACCTCTCACCCACCCTCCACCGCTTTCCGTCCAAGAGATAAAATATATTTTTAAAAAATCAATGAAAAATCCGGGGTGAGGATTAACAAGAAGAAAAAGGAGAGGAGAAGGAAAAGAGGACTTTTTCTGCACCGCCGGCGTTTGCTGGTCAGACGTTTGACTTTCTGTTTTTAGGTCTGACCAATAAGAACGTACACGGCAGGAAAGAGGATGCGGAATTAGTTTTAATTTTTATTGGTTTCAGAGAGGAAGGGAGAGGGAGAGAGAGAGAGAAACAACAACGATGAGGGAGAATAATGGGTTGGCTGCCTCCCCAGCATGCACCCGGGCATGCCCCCTGGCCGGGAATCGGACCGTCATCTCCTGGCTTATAGGTTTGACCCACCCCCTGAGCCACACGGCCGGTGGGAGTGCGTGTGTGAGGGGCAGAGCGTTAGTTTGGGGTGACAGCCAAGCTCTGGAGGTGGGCGGCAGTGTGGATGCGCTTCATGCCACTGGTCTGGACGCTGACAGATGATTAAGACGGCAATCGCATGTTGAATGCATATGTAACCACAATAACGAATCTGTAAAAGGAAAGAAGACAAACATGAAATAAAGATATAAACGTAGTAAACCCGTCTGAGTTCACGATACCCCCCATCACCTACTGGGTGGGTTCTCTTTTTGAGAGTCAGTTGACATCCAACATATGGAAGTGTAAGGTTTAGAGCCCGTTGAGCCGAATCACTCGCATTGCATCATGAGTGCCTTTGTAGCTGACTATGTCACTTCGCTGTGATTTCCTCTGGCCTGGGGACAAGGTCTCGTGTTCCGGGTACAGCCGGGCGGGCACGTGCACCGGCCAGCCGAGTCCCCGCCTGCGGGAAGGTAGGGTCCCCGAATTGCATCCCAGTGCGGCAGGAAGCGAGGGAGAAGGGACTATTATTGACCTTTTTACCCGCAGGCCGAGGAGCGGAGCGGTCAGGCTGGGATTGGTCAGGAGCGGAGCGGTCAGGCTGGGATTGGTCAGGAGCGGAGCGGTCAGGCTGGGATTGGTCAGGAGCGGAGCGGTCAGGCTGGCCCGGAGCAGCGTCTGGCCGCTGTTGCTCGTGGGCGTTGCTCGCATTTCGCCGGTCGGACGGGACTGAGGGCCTTCCTTTGTGCTGCTCCTCCCGGTCCCCGTGTGGCCCTGTCTGACGGTGGCACGCGGAAAGCAAGCCCGGGCCTTGCTGTGACTGCCAGGCCGGCCCTCAGCAACACCAAGGTCAGCGGGAACAGCAGGCCAGCTCCTCTCTCTTCCTCAAAGGTCAAGCTCAGCCCCAGCCACATGGTGGGGGACGCTGGGAGGCTGGGTAGGGTCTGCGAAGTTCACGGCTGCGCCCTGGCCTGCTCAGGGCCAGGCCCAGGCGCTGTTACAAGGTGGCCGGGACACCACAGGCTCAGGGGAAGGGCCCGTGGCTCAGGCCGGCTCTGCAGGCCCCGAGCTTGGCTCAGATTTCTTTCTGGGAAGGAACAGTGACTCCAGTTGGGGGCTGGAGGGCATACCACCCCCTGCACCTCAGCCTTAAGCAAGGAGGGCTGGGATTGGGCGCGGGGACGAAAGAGTCTCTCGGGGTGCTGTGTGCAGGCAGGCCTGGGGCAGCAGGGGCTGGGGTCCAGGTGAGAGGTGGGGTTCCTTGTGGAGGGGGCTGTGGGCTGGGAAGGACCGGTGGGCTCAGGGGATATTTGGTGATGGTTGGGACGTGGGTGGAGGTGTGAGGAGGGAAAGAGGAAGCATGGCACTCCGGTCTCTGTGGCCGGGTGGCCGTGGCAGGCGGGGTGGGACGTGGAGAACGAGATGTGGGGTGACGCTGTGGTCAGTGTGGGACTTGCTGGCGTGAGGGGCTTGTGGGTGCACAGGGACACGTCCAGGTGGCAGCTGGAGGCTGGTCAGGATGGGGGAGGGGAGAGGCAGTGAAGAGGAGGCCAGGCGAGTCGTGGGGGTGGACAGGCCCCCAGGACAGTGGGCTCAGCATGAGCAAAGGGAGTTGGGACAGGCAGCTGGGCCCTGGGTTGGTGCCATAGCTGCGACCAAGACGATAAAAACCCCTGCCCTGGTGCAGTTCACACTCCGTTGAGACGAGACAAGTATTGTAAGTAGCCAAACAGCTAATGCAACAAGACATACCGGTGCACTCGATAGTGTTAGAAGCCAAGGAGAAAAATCAGACGCAGGAGACAGGGTGGGAAGGGCGGGGAGGTCCCAGGAGAAGATGATGTTTGAGTAACCCTGAGGAGGAGGGAGGCAGGGGCCCAGCGGGTGTCTGGAAGCGAGCATTCCCCCCCCCCCCCCCCCCGCAGAGGGAACAGCCAGTGCAAAGGGCCTGAGGCGGGGTGTGCTGCAGCTTTAAGGAACAGGAAGCAGGCCGTGGTTGGAAAGGAGTGAGCGAGGCAGAACGAGTAATGGGAGTTGAAATCAAGAGGAAATATTTTGCAAAAGGCAATCAGTAGGTATCATTCGTTATTAGGAAAAGGCAAAAACAAAATTACAGTGAAATGCCACTTCCCATCCAGTAGAAGGACTATAATAACTTTGAAAAGCAAAACAAAAGTGTTGGCAAGAATGCGGAGAATGTTGTGCATCATTGGTGGTAAAATGGTACAGCCACTGTGGAAAACAGTGTTTTAACTTCTCAAAAAGTCAGCCACAGCCCTAGCTCCATGGTCGGCAGACTGCGGCTCGTGAGCCACATGAGGCTCTTCCACAAAATACCTCGGCCTGGGCGAGTCTATTTTGAAGAAGTGGGGTTAGAAGAAGTTTAAGTTTTAAAAATTTGGCTCTCAAAAGAAATTTCAATCGTTGTACTATTGATATTTGTCTCTGTTGACCAATGTGTTGCCAACCTAGCTGGTTTGGCTCAATGGATGGAGCAAGCCTGTGGACTGAAGGGCCCCGGATTTGTGTCTGGTCAACCGCCCATGCCCAGATTGTAGGTTCAGTCCTCAGTGGGGGGCGTGCAGGAGGCAGCCAATCAATGATTCCCTCTTATCATTGATGTTTCTCTCCCCTCTCCCTTTCTTTCCGAGATCAATAAAAATATATTAAAGAAAAAGTCAAACATAGAATTACCATATGACCTAGCAATTCCACTCTTAGGTCTCTACCCAACAGTACCGAAAGCAGGGACTTGAACAAGTACAACAGCCAGAAAGTGGAAACAGCCTCGATGTCCATCAGCTAATCAACAGGTAACAAAATATCGCCCATCGTCTGATGGAATGTTATTGGAAAGGAATGAAGTGCAGATATAAACCCCAGTGTGGACGAACCTCAGAAATACTATGCTGAGGGAGAGAAGGCAGACACGAACGGTCACATGCTGTGATTTATTATACAAAACGCCAGGACAGGCGTCTCCAGAAACAGAGGCAGATGCCAGTCGCCAGGCGGGGGCGGGGAGTGAGGGCCTGCTGGGTGACACCCTGTCCTCTCAGGGCATTATTGATAGAAAGGAGTGCTGTTTATGGGCCCTGAATGTGCTAACTGCCCTTGAATTGTTCTTTTTAAAATGGACACTTTTATTACAATAAAAAGTAAACAGGCTGTACTAACTTTTTGAAAACAAAAATAAAAGGATTCGACTTGCTGGTGAGACAGTGCATGCATATTGCACAAAATTCAAAGGCTCTGAGTGGTACAAAGTGAAGTTTACCATCATCTCCCCTTCCCAGCTCATAGCCTCGGAGCCACTCGGGTTCGGATTCTTTCTGCGCTCTGAGCGAGCCTGCGCTCTGTAACTTCAGCAGAAAACGCAGAGAGGGCGACACAGACAGGGAAGCGCCTGAGTCCGAGCTAACCGCTTTGGTGATTTTGCTTGAAATAGTGGTTCCCTGTGGCAGGGGAGGCTGGTTTCACTGTGTGTGGGGGGGAAAGAGGAGCCGCGTGGGGCGTCACGCGCGCGGCCGCCGGCAGAGGGCGCAGGGCGCACGGCCCGCAGCAAACGCAGTCCGTGAAAGGGCCAGGTCGGTGGGCTCAGTGGTTAGAGCGGCGCTCGCGGGTTTGATTCCCGGTCAAGGGCACTACCTGGTTGCAGGTTCACCCCGCCCCCGGAGGCAGCCAATCCATGCCTCTCTCTGTCTCTAACCCCCTCCCTCCCCGCCACTCGCTCTAAAGGGGGTGAAAGGTGAGGACTAACGGGCCGGTTCCGGGAGGAAGGCTCGGCGCCTGCGCAGAGGCCCGGGCGGGAGGGTTGCCATGGCGGCGCTGAGCGGCCTGGCGTCGGCGCTGGAGTCGTACCGCGGCCGCGACCGCCTGGTGAGGCCGGGACCTCGGACCCGGGCCCGGGCGCCTGGGATCGCCGGCCGGGGCTCAGCCCGCCGAGCGGGGCCCTGGCGGCGGTGGGGCCCGCGGCCAGTGGGCGGCGGCCTGTGGGCGGCGGGTGAGGCGGCGCCGCTGGGCCGGTGCGCTCCCGCCCGGCCCCGCAGGGAAACCCGGGTTAGGGTTTGGGGGGGCGTGGACTCATCCGCTCTGGCTGGCATCGGGGTGATCGGTCCCCAGGGCTGCAGGCTCCGGAGCTGGGCGCAGGCTCAGCTCCACCTGCTGTCCTGCCGGTGAGTGTGTGTGTGTGTGTGTGTGTGTGTGTGTGTGTGTGTGTGAGAGAGAGAGAGAGAGAGAGAGAGAGAGAGAGAGAGAGAGAGAGAGAGAGAGAGAGAGGCAGGAGAGGCAGGGCTCAGCTCCACCTGAGAGAGAGAGAGAGAGAGAGAGAGAGAGGCAGGGCTCAGCTCCACCTGCAGTCCTGCCAGGGTGTGTGTGTGTGTGTGTGTGTGTGTGTGTGTGTGAGAGAGAGAGAGAGAGAGAGAGAGAGAGAGAGGCAGGCAGACACCAGGGCTCACAGGGTATAAGCTAACGGGGTGAGCAGGTGAAGTCAGGAGAGAAGGGGGGCAAAGCTGACGCAGGTCACCGCACCCTGAATTCTTCTCACTGAAATAACGTATGCAGGTGCCCTTTGTCCACCGGGCGGAGGTTACAGCCCATCCCATCTCCCAGCCCAGCCCGGTGCCCCTCTCCCAGCCCCGGTCCCTCTCTCCCAGCCCCAGCCCCCCCTCTCCCAAGCCCCGGTCCCCCTCTCCCAGCCCAGCCCAGCCCGGTCCCCCCCCCCCCCCAAGCCCAGCCCAGTCCCCCAGCTCCCAGCCACCAGTCCCCCTCTCCCAGCCCCCGGTCCCCCTCTCCCAGCCCAGCCCGGTCCCCCTCTCCCAGCCCAGCCCGGTCCCCCTCTCCCAGCCCCCCGGTCTCCCCCTCTCCCAGCCCAGCCCGGTCCCCCCTCTCCCCAGCCCAGCCCGGTCCACCTCTTCCCAGCCCCGGCCTCCACCTCGTCCCAGCCCAGCCCGGTCCCCCCTCTCCCAGCCCCGGTCCCCCTCTCCCCAGCCCCAGCCCGGCCCCCCTCTCCCAGCCCGGTCCCCCTCACTCCCCAGCCCAGCCCCGTCCCCCTCTCCCAGCCCCGGTCCCCCTCTCCCAGCCAAGCACAGTCCCCCTCCCCCAGCCCGCCCTGGTCCCCCTCCTCCCAGCTCCGGTCCCCCTCTCCCAGCTCCGGTCCCCCCTCTCCCAGCCCCAGCCCGGTCCCCCGCTCACATCCTGTCCCCACCTCTCCCGCCCCTGGCCCCCTCTTCCCAGCCCAGCCCCGCCCCCTCTCCCAGCCCCCGTTCCCCCGTCTTCCAAGCCCAGCCCGGTCCCCCCTCTCCCAGCTCCGAGTCCCCCTCTCCCAGCCCAGCCCGGTCCCCCTCTCCAGCCCGGTCCAACTCTCCCAGCCCCGGTCCCCCCTCTGCCCAGCCCAGCCCGGTCCCTCCTCTTCCCAGCCCCGGTCCCCCTTCTTCCCAAGCCCGACCGGCCCCCTCCCCCTCCCTACTCCCAGCCCCGGTCCCCCTCTCCCAGCCCCGGTCCCCCTCTCCCAGCCCGGTCCCCCCCTCCTCTCCAGCCCGGTACCCCTCTCCCACAGCCCAGTCCCCCTCTCCCAGCCCAGCCCAGCCCGGCCCCCCTCTCCCCGCCCCCCGGTCCCCCCCTCCCAGCCCCGGTCCCCCTCTCCCAGCCCCGGTCCCCCTCTCCCAGCCCAGCCCGGTCCCCCTCTCCCAGCCCCGGTCCCCCTCTCCCAGCCCGGTCCCCTCTCTCCAGCCCCGGTCCCCCTCTCCCCAGCCCCCCGGTCCCCCTCTCCCAGCCCCGGGCCCCCTCTCCCAGCCCGGTCCCCCCTCTCCCAGCCCCCGGTCCCCCTCTCATCCCAGCCCGGGCCCCCTCTCCCAGCCCCGGTCCCCCTCTCCCAGCCGGGTCCCCCTCTCCCAGCCCCGGTCCCCTCTCCCAGCCCGGTCCCCCTCTCCAGCCCCGGTCCCCCTCTCCCAGCCCCCGGTCCACCTCCCAGCCGGGTCCCCCCTCTCCCAGCCCCGGTCCCCTCTCCCAGCCCGCCCGTCCCCCTCTCCCAGCCCCGTCCCCCTCTCCCAGCCCGTCCCCCCCTCTCCCAGCCCCGGTCCCCCCTCTCCCAGCCCCGGTCCCCCTCTCCCAGCCCCGGTCCCCCTCCCCCCAGCCCCGTCCCCGTCCCCCTCTCCCAGCCCCGGTCCCCCTCTCCCCAGCCCCGGTCCCCCTCTCCCAGCCCGGCCCGGTCCCCCTCTCTCCCAGCCCCCGGTCCCCCTCTCCCAGACCAGGTCCCCCTCTCCCTCTGCCCAGCCGGTCCCCCTCTCCCAGCCCAGCCGGTCCCCCTCTCCCAGCCCAGCCCGGTCCCCCTTTCCCAGCCCAGCCGGGTCCCCCTCTCCCAGCCCCGGCCCCCTCTCCGCCCAGCCCCGGTCCCCATCTCCCAGCCCAGCCGGTCCCCCTCTCCCAGCTCCCAGCCGGGTCCCCCCCCTCCCAGCCCCGGTCCCCCTCTCCCCTCCCCGCCCAGCCCCGGTCCCCCTCTCCCAGCCCCGGTCCCCCTCTCCCAGCCCCAGTCCCCCTCTCCCAGCCCGGTCCCCCCTCTCCCAGCCCCAGTCCCCCTCTCCCAGCCCCAGTCCCCTCTCCAGCCCAGCCCCGGTCCCCCTCTCCCAGCCCCGGTCCCCCTCTCCAGCCCCGGTTCCCCCTCTCCCCAGCCCGGTCCCCCTCTCCCAGCCCCGGTCCCCCTCTCCCAGCCCGGTCCCCCTCTCCCAGCCCCGGTCCCCCTCTCCCAGCCCCGGTCCCCCTCTCCCAGCCCGGTCCCCCTCTCCCAGCCCGGTCCCCCTCTCCCAGCCGGGTCCCCCTCTCCCAGCCCCGGTCCCCCTCTCCCAGCCCAGCCCCGGTCCCCCTCTCCCAGCCCAGCCGGGTCCCCCTCTCCCAGCCCCGGTCCCCCTCTCCCAGCCCCGGTCCCCCTCTCCCAGCCCAGCCCGGTCCCCCTCTCCCAGCCCGGTCCCCCTCTCCCAGCCCCGGTCCCCCTCTCCCAGCCCCGGTCCCCCTCTCCCAGCCCCAGTCCCCCTCTCCCAGCCCAGCCCCGGTCCCCCTCTCCCAGCCCCGGGCCCCTTTCCCATGGTGGGTCTGTGCATTTCTGCCTAGTCCTTTGCCGGGAAAGGGAGGCCCCGGAGGTGGGAAATGGGGTTCCCTTTCCTGTCCCCATCACCCTGTCTCCAGCGCCAGCGCGTGGCCTCTGGACCACGATGTCCCGGCTTCCCACCTGTCCCGCACGTTTCTTCTTACACGTCCAGCTTTTACCATCACCTCGTGGGGTTACCCTCCCGCCTGCTCCCCAGGCCAGGGCCCGCTCCGCCCGGGCAGAGCGGCTGACTGTCCGCTCTCCGCAGATCCGGACGCTGGGGTACTGCTGCCAGCTGGTTGGCGGGGTCTTGGTGGGACAAGGCCGGGCCCGGGCAGACGTGGGGGCGCGCCTGCTGGCCGTGTCCTCCCAGCTCAGCGGCTGTCGGACCACCCTGCGCCTCTTCGATGACGCCGCCATGTTCCTGTACACGCGGCAGTACGGCCTGGGGGCAGAGGTGAGGGCTCCTGTGCACAGGGTACGGCCTGGGGGCAGAGGTGAGGGCTCCTGCACACGCAGTACGGCCTGGGGGCAGAGGTGAGGGCTCCTGTGCACGGGGTACGGCCTGGGGGCAGAGGTGAGGGCTCCTGTGCACGGGGTACGGCCTGGGGGCAGAGGTGAGGGCTCCTGTGCACGCAGGGGTACGGCCTGGGGGCAGAGGTGAGGGCTCCTGTGCACGGGGTACGGCCTGGGGGCAGAGGTGAGGGCTCCTGTGCACGCAGTACGGCCTGGGGGCAGAGGTGAGGGCTCCTGTACACAGGGTACGGCCTGGGGGCAGAGGTGAGGGCTCCTGTGCACGGGGTACGGCCTGGGGGCAGAGGTGAGGGCTCCTGTGCACGGGGTACGGCCTGGGGGCAGAGGTGAGGGCTCCTGTGCACGCAGGGGTACGGCCTGGGGGCAGAGGTGAGGGCTCCTGTGCACGCAGTACGGCCTGGGGGCAGAGGTGAGGGCTCCTGTACACGCAGTACGGCCTGGGGGCAGAGGTGAGGGCTCCTGTGCACGGGGGTACGGCCTGGGGGCAGAGGTAAGGGCTCCTGTACACGCGGGGTACGGCCTGGGGGCAGAGGTGAGGGCTCCTGCACACGGGGTACGGCCTGGGGGCAGAGGTGAGGGCTCCTGTACACGCAGTACGGCCTGGGGGCAGAGGTGAGGGCTCCTGTGCACACAGGGGTACGGCCTGGGGGCAGAGGTGAGGGCTCCTGTACACGCAGTACGGCCTGGGGGCAGAGGTGAGGGCTCCTGTACACGCAGTACGGCCTGGGGGCAGAGGTGAGGGCTCCTGTACACGCAGTACGGCCTAGGGGCAGAGGTGAGGGCTCCTGTACACAGGGTACGGCCTGGAGCAGAGGTGAGGGCTCCTGTACACAGGGTACGGCCTGGGGGCAGAGGTGAGGGCTCCTGTACACGCAGGGGTACGGCCTGGGGGCGGAGGTGAGGGCTCCTGTGCACAGGGTACGGCCTGGGGGCAGAGGTGAGGGTGCGGCCCGGGCTTCACTTTCTCCAGTTTTACTTTCCTTTTTCAGATGATAAGAGGTTCTCATCTGAACTAAATTTAAAAAGTAGCTAACACACGCCAAAACCGGTTTGGCTCAGTGGTAGAGCGTCGGTCTGCGGACTGAAAGGTCCCGGGTTCGATTCCGGTCAGGGGCATGTACATTGGTTTCAGGCACATCCCCGGTGGGGGGTGTGCAAGAGGCAGCTGGTCGATGTTTCTCTCTCATCAATGTTTCTAGCTCTCTCTCTCCCTTCCTCTCTGTAAGAAATCAATAAAATATATTAAAAAAAAAAAAAAAAAAAAAAAAGAGCGAACACAGTCACACAGTCCTCAAAGCTGTGTAATGTAGGAGTCTCTCTCCTGACGCCCCAGTCCCCACTTTTCCCCTCAGGGCAGCCACCGCCGTCAGCTTCTCTTTCCTCCTGAGATCTGTACCCGACAGGCAAACACACAGGTTTTCATTTTTGTTTATTTGTTAATCCTCACCCGAGGATATTTTTTTCACTGAGTTATAGAGAGAGTGGGAGGGAGGGCGAGAGACAGAGAGAAACACCGATATGAGAGAGACACATCGATTGGTTGCCTCCGGCACACACCCAACCAGGGCTGAGGAATCGAACCCGGGACCCTTTAGTCTGAGGGCCGATGCTCTAGCCGCTGAGCCAGACCAGGGAGGGTGGCAGTACCCACTTCGGCGTGAATAGCTGTGTGCCTTGCTCTTTTCGCTTAGCAGTTCACCGCGGAGGGCACGCCCTGCCAGGCCAAAGGCTCCTCCCTTTTCATGGCCGGAGCCAGCCCCTTGCTGACGGGCATGCAGCTTCTTTCTGTTCGGCTGGGTTAGCAGCACTGCGTTACCCCACAGGGTGCCAGCTCTGCGCTCCTGACCAGGGAGAGAACCTGCCCCCACCTGGGGCACCTGCAGCCTCAGCTGCCCTGCTGGCTGGTGCAGGGGTGAGGTTAGGAGCTCAGGGCTGGAGGGCAGGGGTACAGGGCAGCACAGAGCCCTGCAGTCCTGGCCCCGGGGCCCGTCCCTAAATGGCTGCGGCAGGTGGCAGCTCAGCCCAGCTCCTGTTTGCCTGTTTGCCAGGATGGTGACTACCCCCTGGTCTGGGAGAGGGACCTGCCCTGCGGGCTGGTGTTACTGCCCACCGGCCCTGCCCACCGGCTTCTCTGTCGCCTGCCCGCCTGCTTCCCCCAGGGGCCTGTGCAGGGGCCGGGCCTGGAGACCTGTGGCCAGGACCTGGAGCCTGTGGCAGGCAGGAAGGCTCCAAGGCAGGGGTCCGAAGCCAGGGCCTTTTTGCAGCATGGCCTGGGCCCCCAATATGGGCAGTGGGTAGGCAGGTGGACCCCAGGCCCGGCTCCCTCTCTGGTCCTGCAGGAGGAGGACATCTTGGTGCGCTGTGTGTCTGTCCTGGGCAACCTGGCCGACCAGCTGTACTACCCCTGCGAGCACATCGCCTGGGCTGCCGACGCCAGGATCCTGCACGTGGACTCGGCCCGGTGGTGGGCGCTGAGCACGGCCTTGTGGGGCCTCTCGCTGCTCCTGGGCATTGCCAGGTAGGCACGGCGCTGCCCCGCAGGCTGGCGGAGGGAGCGGCTGGCAGCCAGGCCGGCGGTGTGGCCTTCGCCCCGGCTGTTCCGCTGCTGCCACCTCACTGTGTGCACCCAGCACCGCGCAGACGAGGCTCTGAGCAGCACCCGCTGCCTGTCCCAGAGTCCCGAGGTCAGAAGCCCCGTGTGGTCTTCCTGGGCTCACTTCAGGGTGGACAGGACGGGGGTCTCTGGAGGCTCCAGGGAGGATGTTCCCGCCTTTTCCAGCTTCTAGGGTTCCTTCCTGCCTTCCTGAGCTCGGGGCCTTCCTCTGTCTCTGCAGCCATCACTCCAGCCTCCGCTCCTGTTGTTGCGTCTCCTCCTCTGGCTCCCCCCTCCTGCCTCCCGCTCCGAGGCCCCCGGTGATGACACTGGCCACCGGGCACCCTCCCGACGCCCTTCGCTGGTCCCGGCGGCAGAGTTCTTTCTGCTGCACAAGAGAACGCACTCATGGGCCCGGGGGCGAGGGCCTGGGCATCCTCGGGGCCATGACGGTGCCGTGGACTCAGGGAGAATAACGTGCGGCCTGGAGGGAAGTGGCCGGCGTGGCTGCCTTTACTGGGTCCCCGAGTCCTTCACATTGTCAGCAGCAAACGGCCCCGGATAAAATAGCTTCAGAATCATATTCTAGAATTCTAAAGTAACGGTTTCCTCCCGAACCTTCTCCTCTCTGCACAGCTGCTGAGTGGGTTTGTTCAGAAAACGTGGGGCGAGGGGCCTCCCGTGGCAGAATTTCATCAACAGTCCCTTCCCCGGAGGGGACAGCCGACCCCCAGCCTGCAGGGCCCGGGAGGTGGCAGTGCCGCAGGCCCTGAGCCAGTAGCCTGTTCTCCCCGTTACAGGTGCTCTCGTTACACGTTCGTCTCAGTCTGGAAAGCGAAGGAACCCCAAGTGGAGGATTCCGGTCACCCCCAGACCGGGGGGACCCAGAGATCCCGCTTGTACCCGATGCCTCCTCTGCCCTTTGACCTTGCACTCTGCGGACACCTCGTCCTTGCTCTGATCTCCTCGTTACAGGCTGGGCTTTGTCTTGACCTGAGCTCTCCTCACGTTCACGGTCACTGTCTGGGACCTTGCCGTGGGCCTGGCTGGGCTCTGGACACTCCCGAGGCTGCGGCTCCCGGGGCCTGTGACTCTGGCGCTGGGACCTACCATTCCTGCGTTGGGGCAGCCTCGATGCTGTTCATTTTGAAAAATAGGTTACAGTTTAGGGCGGTTTTAGGTTCACAGCAAAATTGAGCTGAAAATAGAGTTCCCATTTCCCGCCTGCCCCCTCCCAGCCTCCCAGCCGGCACGGCGTGCGTGCGAGAGGGACCTGTCACAGGCGAGGAGCCCGCACGGACGTGGCTCCTCACCCTGTCGGTGGTCCGGGCCTCGGTGAGGGGCGCTCTGCTGGTGAGATGTGACCTGACACCCACCGCAGCATCACAGAGCGGTTTCCGTCCCGACAGGCCTGGCGCCGCTCATGTTCGGAGCGTGTTGCTTTCCCATGATTTTTCTGTTTGGTGTTAGCGTGTGCGCTCTCCCATGTCCTTAAGCCCCGGGTGCCGGAGAGGCGCAGGGAAGGCCGGGGTGGACGCCTGGGCCAGGTGCCCAGAGGGTCTGACCCCGCTGGTCCGGGACCCAGCGCCGAGGCCTTGGTGTGGCCTTAGGGCCCAGGCGGCCTTGGTGCAGACCCACGTCCCTCCCGGCAGGCGGGGCCCGTGTCCCACTCTGTGCGCGGGCAGATGCTCTAGTTACAGGCTGCTGGGCCTCTGGGCCTCCCACTGTGGCTGGGAGATGTGACCAGGGCCCAGACCTCCCAATCGTGAAGTCTGGCTGGCTCAGCTCCCCAAACGGCAGGGCTCTGCCACCTGCACTTACCGGCCACCCCAGCGCAGGGTGCAGGGCCAAGCGGGCAGTCCGGGCGGGCGCGCTGTGGGCCTGAGAGTCCTCGGGGAGCACCAGGCTGCCTCCTGCTGGCTGCTCCCTCAGCCTGCCGATGCCGGCCCTCAGAGCCCAGAAAGCCGCCAGGCCACCTCCACAGGCTGGGTGGAGTCACTGGCAGCAGAGCCCGGTGCCCGGTGCCCGTTGTGGGTAACCTCCGCCCACAGCGGCAGGTGGTGGAGCCTCCCCCAGGCCGGCACTGGGAATGGAACCCTGCACACCCTGCCTCTCCTGCCCTCTGGCCGGCCCCTCATCCTCTGGTGTTGCAGGTCCCTGTGGGTGGTCCTGAAGCTGAGACAGCAGCTGAGGAGCGCGGCGGCCGTCAGCAGGTACTTCCCTCCCGAGGGTTGCAGCATTATCAGCCGTCCCTGCACAAGGCCGTGGTGGGGGCGTTGATGCCACAGCCTCCGGTGATGGGAGCACTCTTCCTTGGGGCCAGCGAGGCCCCCCAGGCGGGACAGCAGAGCCAGGGCCCCGGGCGGAGTCCTCACGCTGTGCCCGCAGAGCGCAGGGCAGCAGAGGGCCAGGGAGTGCCGCTTCCTCCCGGAGAGCCTGTGCCTGGCGCTGTGCCTGGCCGGCCCTGCCCCACCTCCCTGACTGACTGCAGGGCTCAGCAGGGCAGATGTGGAGTTGAGACTTTCCACACAGGCCTGTGCCCTGGTCCCGTGGGCTCCCTCTGGGGGTGACGGGGACTCCTCCTCGCTCACAAACAGGGTCTGGTCACTCCCCTCCCTGCCTGTCCGGCCAGCATGGGCAGCCCTGAACCTCCCCTCTCTGACCCACAGCCAGCGGCCCCGGAGCACGCGGGCGGCCGCGGAGGCCCGGATCCAGTCGGAGCTCGTGACTGTCCTGAGCAACCTGGCCGACCTGGCCAACGCCGTGCACTGGCTGCCCCCGGGCTTCCTGTGGGCCGGCCGCTTCCCCCCCTGGCTGGTGGGCCTCCTGGGCACCATCTCCTCCCTCCTCGGCGTGTTCCAGGCGGCCCGGGCCAGCGGCCGGGCTGGCAAGGCCGCCTCCTGACGGCCAGAGGCGCACGGACACCGCGGAGCCTCTGAAGGGAGGGCCTCCCCGCACTGCAGTCCCCGGGCAGGCGCTGGGTCTGAGCAAACAAGAGCACACGGAGTGACCGGGCACAAGCTCCGGGAGGCAGGGTGCAGGGTGGCTGAGGCCCCCCACCCAGGCCCCCTGCCCCGCTGGGAGGAGGCGACTCTCGGGCCAGGCAGAGGCCCCGGGACGCCACGCAGACGAAAAGGCACCGCGGCCTCAGCAGAGCCGCAGCCCGCCCCCGCATCCTGTGCCCAGATGGGCAGGAGGTAGGATGGTACGCGCCCAACGGGCCTCAGGAAAGCCGAATGAGAACCAATTAAAACTGGTGCTGGTGCGAGGCCCCGGCGAGTCCTTTCCTAAACTCACCAGCTCCCTGCCCCGCCGTCCGAGGCCCCCTCCCTGCGCCTTCTAGGGAGGGGCGTGCGGGCGCCACCTCTGGACGTGGTGGCCCATGTGCCCGGTGGCTCCTGAGGGGGCAGAGCTGCAGGGGGAGCTGCGCTCCCATGTCCCTCCTGGAGGTCTTTGGCCGGGCCCTATCCGCTGCCGGCTGCCAGGCCGCCCGCTGTGCCGGCTGCCACCACGCTGTCTCCGGCCAGCCGTGCCCACATGGCGTCCTTCCCCGTCACTGTGGCTGCTTGTGGTCCAAGCAGCTGACACGCAGCCCCAGCTGGGACCAGGGCCATCACCCCCGGGCCAGCCTGCGCATCTCTAAAGAGGCCGCTGTCTCCCACCTCACGGAGACTGGCAGGGCCCCTGCGATTGTTCTCGGTGACACTGGAGGCCGGGAGTGCGTGTGTGCACGCGGTATTGGCAGATGGTGGCCGGGCCATCTCGATGTGTCCTTGGACCCTCGCCCTTAGTCCCAGCGGGAAAAAGGGAACCCGGCTCTGCCTCATGTCCCCAAAGGGCCCAACAAGACCTGTGCTTGCTGTCTGAAGCCGCACATGACTTCAGCCAGATGGCGCTCTTACAGGGAGGATGGGAACAGCTGGGCTGGCGGGCTGCGGGGTCACGTGGGGTGCAGAGACCTCACCCTACACCTGGCTCAGCCTCCCCCTCCCTATTGCAAAGCCGAGCAGCTGGCACGTTCCAGCGCCGAGGAACCAGCGTGACCAGGCGGGGTCGGAGCAGCCCCGCCTGCGCCTGGAGCACGGGAACGCCTGGGTGCTGCACGAGTGGGCGGGCCACGCGGACCCCGGCTGTGCCACACCAGGTCCCAGGCTCACGCTGCCCGCCAGCCTGGGGCCGCTGCCGGCCAGGCTCAGGCACACCCTGGGCAGCTGGGATGACCCTGCCTGCAGTGGCCACACCCGCCCACGGCTAGTTCCTTGGGGGGAAGGCCTCACTGGTCCTAGGAGCATGTCGGTGGCCAACGGCTCAGGGAGCAGGGGGCCACCACCCCAGGGGCGCAGGGCCAGGCTAGCCAGGGCGGGAGGGCGTGGTGGCATTCCCCCAAAGCTGACTCTGGTTGGGGGGTTCACTCTGGGCCTTCTGCCTCTACCTTTGACTGTCCAAACAGGGCCCTGTGGGGACTTCTCACAACAGAGCAGGCTGACGGGCCCAGGCTCCTCCCTGTGGTCCCGGCAGCTCCGCTCACCACAGGCGCGGGCACAGGCAGCTGGTCCCGAGGCCGCCATCCTGCCTTCCCCGCCCCAGCTGCAGCACAGGAGTGGGGATAGCAGCCGAGGGGGCGCCTCAGGTGTCCTGGGCCCACGGGGAGGGACATCACTCTGGTTCCCTAAAAGTCCCGCAGACCTGGCGTGCGCCCCGCTGGTGGGGTGAGCCTGGGGGAGCCCTCCAACAGCCGACCTGAGCACAGGAAGGACAGCCACTGCCAGCTCGTCTTCAGACACCTTTATTGCTAGAATCAGGCTTGAGTGCTAAGGCAGTTCCGAAACATCCCGCGTGAGGACATACTGCGATCATAGCATCACTGGGTGGACCGAGATCAAGTCAGTCACCGAAGATGTACACAGATCCCGCAGGAGTGACACTGCTCGGCCGCCAGCTTTACAAACGGCACCGGGCCCTCCCGGGAGCGGCCGCAGGCGCCTGCCCCGCTGCACGCCTGGCCGGAGACCCCACCACATGCCGAGCCAGGAGAATCCCAGGACGTGGCTTCCGAGGACCTGTGTGCCTGAGGCCCAGGAATGCGCTCGTCACAGAAGGAAGGAAGGAAGTAAAGGAGAATTTCCTAAAGTGCTCTGATTCGTCTCAGTTCAAAAACATAAAACACTGATTACAGATCCAGCACAGGGGATGGCGGAGTCACTTCTCTCTGGGCCCTGCTGATGCCGCTGGTCCCGCAGGCAGAGCCGAGGGGCAGGGCCAGCAGGGCGGGGCCGGAGGGTTCTGAACGGCTGCTGTCAGCTCGTCACTCACTGGCTGTCACCTTGACCCTGGGCAGCTCAGGACCTATCCTGCCGACGCTGTGGGAGGTGCTGGGCTCGGCCCGCGGAGGGCCTGGGATGCAGAAACAGTAATGTCCCCCTCCGGCACCAGCACCCGAGCTCGTGGTTGGCCGGAGGTGGGACGTGGCTCAGTCACCACGCTGGCCGTGTGACACGCCCCAATGCCGACAGCCTTGCCCGCTTCCAGGGTAAGGGGACAGCCAGCCACGGCGGCTCACGGACGTGTGGCCCGTGAGGTGGCCGCCTGCCTGTCCACTGGAGGTCTCCAGGCCACGTGTGCTCCTAACGTTTCCCCTCACTGGCAGCGCCCCCGCTCTGCTCTGTGTTGTACCTGCATCAGCCCATCGGCCTGAGACCAGCCCGGGGCTTCCTCTGGGAGGCTCTGGGCAAACGGGCTCATCTCCGGGGACTGAGGGCCCTCCCTCGGCCGGGACTGGGGGCTGTGCTGGCCTGGCCGAACCTCGGATTTGCCTTCCCCAGGCCGAGCACCTGAGCGCCATGCGGACTCGGTGAGGTGCCTTGGGGAAGCCCCGAGATCGCCGACAGCAGGTTGAAAACACCCATCCAGTTAGCACAGTTCCAGTCAGACCCTTTCGAGATGAGTTTGCCTGAAGAACTCGCCTTGAGTACAACTGGCCGCCGCTGGCAGCCACTCTGCCCCACGTTCCCTCAGTCCCTGGGGGCTGGGTGCGCTCTCGTCTGCCCGTGCCCTGGCCTTGAGCTCACCATGAACCCATGTAGATCTCGGCTTTGATTCTGCAGGGAGACAACTGACACTACCCTGGCCCTTCTGCTGCCCTAATGACCGGTCCAGCCCCGGTCTCCGAACGGCTGTGGGCGGCCCCCCTCCCCAGACCGAGGTCTGGCCCGCCATCGGGCGCCACGTGGGACCCGTCTGTGACCACCCTGGAAAAACTGCTTCGAGTGGGTCTCTCCCTACCATTAAAATAGCCCCTCGGTTGGCTTAGGTTCAACCTTCAATTAAAAATGTTCCTTTTTGTATAAAAAAAGGCACCACTGCTGATCAATCCCTACAGCAAGAGCCTGGAGACAGGCGGGCCGGGCCAGGCCAGGCGGTCAGCCACGGGGTGTGCTGGGCAGCGCGGGCTCTGCACCCCAAGCCGTGGGCCTAGAAGAAGATGACGTCTTCTTTGCTCACTTCCTCCTTGTTGAGGGGGGAGAGGGGCTGCGGCGCGGGCAGGAAGGGGGTGCACTCGGGGGCCGTGTCCTCCACGGCTGGGCTGGGCGCCTGGGTGAAGAAGTCTGGAAGACAGAGGGTGGGTGTGGGCAGCTGCCAGGCCCTGCGGAGGCCCTGCCCCGGGGCGGCCGGCTCACCTTGGGGGGATGCGGATCTGTGGCTGCTGCGCCGGATGGGGCTCAGGGAGCTGTGGCTCCGAGGGGCGTGCTCCTCCTTGCCCGTGAGTTTGCAGAAAAGCTGCTGCTGCTTCAGGTCGAACGAGGCTGACAGAGGAAAGAGGGTGCACCTGGGTGCTCAGCCCGGCTCCCGCACACGGCAGCCCCACCCCCAGCTCCTGAGCACTTCCCAGGATCCTGTTTCAGGGGGACCCCCTCAGACAGTAAGCCCAAATGCAGTGACTTTACAAAATGGAAGAACACCTCCAGCCGACCCCAAAATGCCCCCAGAATAAGCCAACCTCTGGGTCCTGCAGTCCTGGGACACAGGCCCTGCTCGTAGGTCCAGGAGGGCCCCCTGCCAGGAGCTGTGCCAGAGAGCCCCTGGCATCGTCACCAGTGTCCCGAGGGACGAGGGTGCTCTGACTGCTGGTCTCTGGGGCCACCCAAAGGGCCTCCCGGCCCTTCCTGGTCCAGTCTGAGGACCGCGGTGGGAACGGCCCTGGGGTCTGTCACGTCGTGTCACTTCGGGAGGATAAACCGCCCCGCGGACTGGGGAGGGGCCTCAGCACGGCCAGCTGCATCTCCGCAGGAGGACGGCCTGGCCTGTGGTTCACCCACGGGAGGTGCTGCGGTGTCACTGATTGCTCACGACCCGATCTCCTAGTCCGGGAGGGCTGGGCAGGCCTGGAGGTCACCCATCTCCCACAGACCACCTGTCCCGGAGGACTGAGCTGGGCCCCACCCGCCACGCCCGCCCCAGGCACGGAGCTCACCCGAACTCTCACTGCGCTGGGAGCCCCTGCTCTTGCCGCCCTTGTCCTTGCCGCCCTTGGTGAAGGCAGCCAGCTTGGTGGGGATCTGCTGCTGCACGGCCGCCTGCCTCTGGATCTGGTTGGTGGTGCTGAGCAGCTGGATAGGCACGTCGCTCCTGGCTGGCCGGCTCTCGGCGAGGGCGCTGTCCCGGCGAGCCACCTCGGGGCGCTCAGGGCCTTCCTGCCCCTCCCCGTTGAAGCTGGGGGGGTGGCTGGGGGGCTGGGCCTGAAAGAGCCACAGAAGACACATCCCAGAGCTGCTCCTCCGGGAAGCCTTCCTGGGACGGACGGGGAGTGCTCTCCTCAGCAACCCCCACCCACGGGCTTCCGGGAGAGCCTTGTCCACCCCGGACCCTGGGCCAGCGGCTTGCGGCCGATGGAGCTGCCATTCACGGCCTGTCCCCATACACACACACACACACACACACACAGCACTAACGCAGGCACTAGGGAGTTCACGCGTGCGCCGCAGGACGCACCCACACGGGCGCCGCACTCCCCGCGCTCACCTCGGAGGGCGGCTCGGGCGGCAGCGCCCCGGGCGCCGTGCTCTGCCTCTTGAGCCTCTGCAGCAGCTCCAGCCGCTCGCGCTCGCGCTCCACGGTGCGCTGGGCCTCCCGGAGCCGCTCCAGGTCGTGCTGGTAGGCCTGGCGCTGCTGCTCCAGCTCGGCGCGCTCCTGGGCCAGCCGCTCCCGCTGCAGCGCCGCCTCGCTCTGGCGCTGCCGCAGGTGGGCCGCGGCCAGGTCCAGCTCCTGCTGCTGCTGCTCCCGCTGGCGCTCCCAGCGCTGCTGCTCCAGCCGCAGCTGGCTCTGCAGCTTCTGCACGCCCGCCAGCTCCTCTCGCTGCTTCTCGAAGTTGCGCTGCCGCTCCTGCTCCAGCAGCAGGTTCCCGCGCGTCGACTGCAGCCGGAACTGCTTCTCGCGCTCCTGGATGGAGGCCCTCTGCATCTCCACGTAGCTGTCCTGCTGGGTGATGACCGCCTGGGGGAGTGGACTCGTGAGGCGCTGGCCGTGCCCTCTCCCGGATCCCAACCTCAAACCGGAAGGGCAGCGCAGCCTGTCACAGCCCCCCCCCCGCTTCTCCCCACAGCCCTGTACCTGGAGGCTCAGGAGCAGCTGGGACAGCGTCTGGATTCGCTGGACAAGCTGTGGAGAGACAAAGTGCTGGCTTTCTGCCCGAAGCCCTCCTGGTGTGCATGCCAGTTCCGGGAGATGGACAAGCCTGAGCCTACCTCCAACTCCAGGACAACGGGCAGACGGGGGCCAGACTCCGTGCTCGGTGCCTCCACCTGTGGACACACAATGTCAGAGCCCACAGCTGCCGAGGAAGAAGCCAGACTCCACTGCTGACGCGACTGCCTTAGCACGGGCAGGCCCTGCCTCACTGCCTGGGCCGTGAGGTGCAGGGTGGCTCCAGGAGGCGGAGGCAGCTGCCAGGGGCCTGGCCATGGCACACTGCTGGCCCTGCTCTCACCCCGATGCTTGGCAAGATGGGTGTTCTGGGTTGAAGCAGGGGGAGCAGCCAGCGTGACTGGCATCATGGCTGTGAGGACACTGGAAGCTCACGGCCCCGCATGGTGCTCCTCACCCGAGGGGGAGGCCGTGGCTGCTGCCCTCGCCCGCCCCTCCCGGCCTCCCACCTGCCGGGCCTGCAGGGAGACATGAGGCTCCCCTGCCTGCTCGCTGACCGGGGCTGAGACATGGCCATGCACATGAACGGACAGCACATGCCACTGCCGGCTGCGAGGGGAGAGCTGAACAGATGTTCACACTTGCTAGCAATTACACGGACGGGGCCGGCTCTGCACTGGGCTCAGGGCTGGCCCAAGGGAGCAACGTACCGCCCACGGTGCTTCCTCGGAGGCGCCAGGGGGGTCGCCGAGCTTCACGTCTGGACTGCTCACAGGGTCTTGCCAGTCTCCTGGGCTGAGGTCGCCGCCACACACCTTCTTCCTGAAACTGTCACCTAAAACCCCAGGCTCATGAGGACGCTTGGGGTCCCCCTGGGTCTAGGACCCCCCCCCCCCCCCTGCCCCCAGCCCCGGTAGAAAATTTCCAACAGCCACTGGAATTGTGGCTGGGCTGCTGCCTTAGGCCTGTGGCATCTGTGGTGCAGAGATCGGCAGGAGCAGGCCTGGCTGCTGTCAAGCATGACCAACAACAGGTGGACGGCCCCAAACCCTGACCACAGAGACTGTACGGACGCTGACAGGAAGTAGCAGCAGAGATGCCAAATAGCAATAGCTGGCTCTGCCGAGGGGACATCTGAGGGACCGGAACCTGCTGCTGCTCCTGGCCTTCCTTCCCAAGCACCCGGGTCCCGCCCTGGGGAGGAGGCACCACTCACTCTTGCCAGGGTCCCTGGTGCTGTCGGAGCCTCCAAAGGCCTCTGCCCTCTGGTGCAGGCCCGCAGAGGCACCCCCATCTTCTGCCAGGCCACGGGGGCCGCCTAGCCGCCGGCAGATGAGGCTCTGGATGTCCTCAACTGTGGGAGGAGACAGGAGGGATGCAGAAACTCTGTGCAGTCACATTGTGTGTCAGGGGCGCAGGGCCAGGGCAGAGGACGGAGGGGGACTCCAGCTCCACTGACCCTGTGCACTCCTGCACAGGCGCCCTGCCCAGTCAGGCCTCTCCGTGTCCAAAGGAGACCAGCTCTGTGGGCAGCATGTGGACGGGGCATCCTGGCCCCTAGGCTGAGGGTAAGCTGGGTCCAGAAGGACCTGCGTGGCCACTGCTGGTGTGATGAGTCATCCAGAATGTTCGGAGTCACGGAGGAAGGACCTGGGGCCAGGGCTGGCCACACCACGTGCTCCAGGACAAACAGGCTTTGGCCGGCGAGGTTGGCGGAGGCCCAGGACACAAGAGGCCTCAGGGGGCTGAGAACAGCCGCCACTGGAGGAATGGGAGGAACGGCTATGGCTGCGGAAGCCAGACGGAACGGGGCAGAGTGCAGGTGGGAGCCCCTCTGCTGTTACCCTCACGGTGAAGGGGAGGGCTGTGTCTGCCTCGTTTGCTGCCGAGAGGGGTGTGGGCTGTCCTTCGGGTGAATGAGCACGGCTGCCTGGCCTGACGCGGGGGCTCTGGCATGGGCCTGACTGCTCTGTGAAGCAGGTCTGGCCGGACGCACACAGGGGCCCTCGGAATGACCCACCAAATGTGCACGCTGGCGTGTTTCTGGCTCTATCGCCATGACCCACCACTCAGAGGAAGAGTCACCTCTTGAATGTGGGAACTCGTCTCGGTCGACTCCAGACGCCTGGGGCCCGGGACAGGGCCCTCATGAGGCAGGCACCGGGGTGTCCAATGTGCGAGGAAGCGGTCTCAGTCCGCACCAGGGGCTCGCTGTGGGTCCTGTCTAACGGCCCTCAGGCTCTAACGGGTGCTGGGGAGGGTGCCCAGCCCCCAGCCAGATAGACGTGTCCCTCGGAGAGGGTGGCGAGGTGGCCACACTGGGCCACGTGCCCAGCCTGTGGTCCCCAAGGAACTACCCCCGGGCAGAATGGTGCTGGAGAGGGAGGCGCTGTCCCACAAGGACCTGGGGCAAGGCCACTTACTCTCGGTCATGGCTGACTTGAGGATCACCTCGCCCTGCAGGTTCTCGGGGAGGTCCCCGCCCCGGAAGAGGAGGCGCGGCTGAGCCTGGTCGTCCAGGCCGCTCATCTCGGCCATCTCCAGGAAGATCTGCTGCTTCTCTCGCAGGCTCTGTGCAATCTGCTGGTCTTTCAGTCTCAGTCGTTCTGCGGAGCCACGGGGGTGGAGGTCAGGCTCTCAGGACTGTTCCCCGGGAGGCGGCACTGGGGGACCGCACGGAGTGGGGCTGGCCTCCGGGGACCCCTGCTGATCCACCTCACCCCAAGGTCCACTGCTCCCTCCATCCAACCTTCGAGAGCAGTGAGGGCCTGGCCCTGCCTCGGATCGCTTCCCACAATCATAAAAAGCAAACACAGCGGGGTGTGGTGAGACCATGACAGGCCAATTTGGGGACAAACTGAGAGCCTCATAAGATCTAGTTTTCTAATCGTGAACGTCCTCCTTCAGGCATTTAGGTCAAACGCCTTCGCACAAGCCTTCCCGTTTTATGCTTGTGCGGCTGCCATCGCTGTGACTCTGGCTTAGACTTCCTCACTGGTGACTGTTAGCACATCTACATCACGTTCAGGTAAATAACTCACTCTTATCCGTTCTAATCATCCTCCAGTTGGTTCTATTGTATTTTGTAGGCAAATAACCATAATTCTGCATATTTTAATACCATTTTTACACATGCTTTGATGAATCACTTCTGATTCCTGATTCTGTTGTTTTTTTTTTTTTTGGCATTCATACAAGGAATTTGCTCACTTCTATAAATTAAACACATTCACCCATTTTCTTAAAAAACAAAGAAAAATAAAACAAACAAACAACCCCCCACCCCACCCCACAAAACAACATAATTCTGTTGCTACCCTTTCAATCATATCTTACTTCTGTCTCTCCCAACATTCCCTGGCTGGGACTGCCAAGATGAAGATGATAATCGAGAATGGATGGCTCCAGTTTTTTAAATCCTCACCAGGAAGATATGTTTTTAATTGATTTTAGAGAAAGAGCGAGGGAGAGAGAGAAATATTAATCGGCCTTATATATGCACCCTGACCAAAGATCAAACCCACAACCTAGGTATGTGCCCTAAGTGGGAATCGAACCTGTAACCTTTTGGTGTAGGGGACAATGCTCCAATTAACTGGGCCACCTGGCTCCAATTAACTAGTTTCTGGTTTTGAGAGTGTCTCAAAGTTAAGGTTGAGTTCAACTTTTGATCCAAGATGAGAAAGAATATCTTGATAAAAAAAAAATCTTTGTAGTCCTAATTCACTAAGAATCTTGGGAATGAATGATGAAGAGACATTACTGTGCAACTCTACAGTGTCTATGCAGGACATATATTTCATTACTATCAGAGAAATTTGTGAGTTAGAATGAGATGAAATGAATACTCCAGGGTAGAGGACGGAGGGGGATGGAGGGTCCAAAGGATTTCCTCTCCTTTCTTTTGGACGTTTTTATTAATTAACTAGAGGCCTGGTGCAAGAAATGTGTGCACTGGGGGGAGGAGGGGAGGAGGGGGGGGGGAGAGTCTCTCAGCCCAGCCTGCACCCTCTCCAATCTGGGACCCCTCGAGGAATGTCCGGCTGCCCATTTAGGCCTGATCCTACCATAGAATTGGGCCTAAATGGGCAGCTGGACATCACTCTACAATCTAGGACTGCTGGCTCCCAACTGCTCACCTGCCTGCCTTCCTGACTGCCCCTAACTGCTTCTGCCTGCCAGCCTGATCACCCCCTAACCACTCCCCTGCCAGCCGGATTGCCCCTAACTGCCCTCCCCTGCAGGCCTGATCCCTCCCAACTGCCCTCTCCTGCTGGCCATCTTGTGGTGGCCATCTTGTGTTCACATGGGGGCAGCCATCTTGTGCGTTGAAGTGATAGTTAATTTAATTTGCATATTACTCTTTTATTAGGATAGAGGCCTGGTACATGGGTGGGGCCAGCTGGTTTGCCCTGAAGGGTGTCCTGGATCAGGGTGGGGGTTCCCTTGGGGCATGGAGCAGCCCGGGCGAGGGGCCTGTGGTGGTTTGCAGGGTGGCCATGCCCCCCCCACAGCAGACCACCGGTCACTTGCGCCATGGCCAATCCCAATGGGACAGAAGAGAAACACCACTGGTGGGGCTAGGCCTGCTGCCTAAGCAGTGCTCTGCAGGGCTATGTCACCACCACTAGGGGGCACATCTGTGGGTGCAGGTGCCCAGTCTCCCTCCCTCTTACCTTGGAAGTCCCTCAACCTCAGGGCGCGGGCCTCCACCACCTTCCTCTCCTCTTCAGTCTCGATGAAGGGCCCTTCGTCCTCGACCGGACAGCTGCGGGGAGGGGGGCAGATGGCTGAGAACGCTCACGAGCTGACTGGCTCGGAAATGGGCCCCGAGAAGCGTATCTGCAGAACCAGCTGCTAGAGGGGATCTCATTTTGTGGTAGGATTAGCTCGGCAGTGTTGCAGCAGCAGGACAGGGAAGAGAAAGACAGCCATGAGCACGAACCTAATCTCAGTGCTGGGATATAACCAGCCCGGGCTTTATTATTTATTTGTTTGTTTACTTAAAATGCCTTGAAAGCCATGTCACCGCTTTTTAAATTTGATTTCGAGAGAGAAAGATACATATCAATTTGTTGGCCACTTACTTATGCATTCACTGGTTAATTTTAGTATGTGTCTGGACCAGGGTTCAAACCTGAAACCTTGGTGTATCAGGACGATGCTCTAACCAACTGAACTACTGGGCCAGGACCAGCCACACATTTTAACTGCCGGCCATGGCTGGAGGAAGAGATGGGGACAGCTCGTTCCCTAGGGACCACCCAGCACGGAGGCCGCAAGGCTGGCGGAGCTGAGGCGAGGAGGGAGGGAGTGCCAGGCAGGCTAAGGCTTTGGGAGGTTGCCAGGCAGAGAGGAAGTGGCAGGCTGCCAGGTGGGGGGGCCGGGCCACCTTCCCCATCTGCTGGGTGGAACAGCAGCCAGGCACCCCGCAGAAGCACAGGGCTGGGGTCCTGAGGCTCCCTGGCCGGAGGAGGACAGGATGCCATGATTTGCTCCATCAGGTCTGGCCCCAATGAGGGTGGGGTGCAGGGAGGTGGGTGTTGACAGGATGGGCACAGCCTGGGTGCTAGGTGGTGTCCCACCAGAACGGAAGTCAGAGCTGCCTGGCTCCACGTCCCCTGGCGAGACACTTTGGGGCCCTTTCAGAGGAGTCGGCATGGTGGCATCTTTTAAATAGAGGGATGGAAAAACACAAGGTGAAAAGTGGGAGGGAAAGCAAAGGTCCGTCTGCCTGTGATTTCTGGTGTTCTCTGGGGCAGGGCAAGGTCACAGCCAAGGGCAAAAAGGAGCACATAGGCCCTGCTCACCTCTCCACGGCCCTTCGGATGTGTGCCATCCAGGCGTTTCTCTCCTCCTTGGAGCCCGTGTAAATCTCGTACATCTCAGGCCCTTGCAGGGAGGCGCTGATCAGGAACATGGCCTTTTCCTCGTTGGCTACTTCCCTCACAATGAGCTTTTGTAACGAGATGACGGGGCGCTTCGAGTCCTGCATGGGGGACGAGGTGGGAGTGTCACCTTTTACTGCAGGGCACCCCCTGGTTTTCAAACCATCCCGAGAAGAAGTATTTTACCATCTGGGGGAAGAGACACTATTGCAATGACATCCTTGTATGCTTTAATGCCATCTGTTTAATGGACTCAAACAAATGTGTTTTATAATCAACTAGAGGCCCAGTACATGAATTCGTGCCTGGGTGGGGCCCAGAGCGGCTGCTGGCGGTTTGTGGGCTGGCCCTGCCCTTGATCGGGGGCGGGGCTGGCCAGGGGAGGGGCCGTGGTGGTTGGCTGGCCCCGTCTGTGTGCTGGGAAACATGGGAGGCTTTTAAACCTGGGAAAGGTACATGATTTCATAATGAGCCAGCGCTGCCCTCCTCGTCAGGTGGACCTGGAGGCTGGCAGGGGCACTAACGCCTCCCCACAGGGAGGGCTGTGCTGTTAAACCCCGAGGACCGGGGCCCTCTAGGGGAGCAGAGGAGGAAGCCAAATCCCGGGGCTGTGGGCCGGGAGGGTGACTGGCATCCCAGCCCAGCCCCCAACCCTCTGGCTGCGCGGAGCCCGTGGCAGGCGTGGCTCCCACAGCCAGGTCTCTGGGGCAGCCTGCTGTGGGATCAACTGGGCACAACACAGGGTGGTGGCTGCCTGACGAGCCAGAAAGTCCCTGGGAAGGGGGGAGGTGCTTTCCTGCAAGGATGCCGGGGCCTGAGGCTCTGAGCGCCTGTGACAGAAAGACAGAAATGCAGACAGAGGGTGTCCGCACGAGCCCGCGCAGCCTCGCCAGACCAACTAGGTAAGACCCCTGTCCTGGGGAACGTCTACAACTGCCTTCCGGAACCTTCTGGCCCTGGCAGGACCGGGGACAGCACGTGACTTAGGGATGGGCTTATCTCGCCACCTCGCTCTGTGCTGTTCTCGCCTCGTTGTGGATGCAGCCCGGCCACTCCCCACCAGCGCCTCCTGCGCAGTCGCTTTAAAGCAGCTCTTGGCGTGGAGAGAGGACACATACCACAGAAGCGAAGACGTACTTCTGGTCCTTTTCTTGCAGCAGCAACAGCACATCGGTCAACAGGACGGCAAGGACATCTGCGGAGAGAGGACAGGAGGCAATGCACGGCGGGGCCGTGAGCGGCCTGCTGGCAGCCGGGAGGCGCGGGACCGGAGGAGCCTGGCCACTAGCCCAGAGCCAGGACGCTCTGCAGGAGCCCGAGGTTTCCTTTCACTCTCACGCCTCCCACCGCCTGCCTGGGTCCCCACGTGTCTGCACCGCACTGCCAGGCCTGGCCCTAATCCCCTGCTGTAATGGTGCCTGCCGGCCTGGCCTTCGCGGTTCTCTCACTGTGATTTCTCAGATGAGAACTCCGCACCCCTCTCCTGCTTCTACCTGCCCGGGCCACCCAGGACCTGAGGTGGTGGGCCTGGCCTGCTGCCTCTGACCGCAGTGATGCACTCCCATCCCGGCGCGGCCTGAGCCTCGGGTCCGGGCAGCAGGCGGTGTCTGGTCCCTGCAGGAACACCTCACAGCACCCGCGCACTTGGTGCAGGTCCTGCGTGTTTCCCACACGAACACTCATGCCCTGAACACGGCCTCCTTCTTGGGGAGAACCAGACACCCTCAACCAGCCTCCGGCTGCCTCCAAAGCACTCTCTACACTTCGCCCCCGTCTCTGTGGACTGGCTTCTCTCTGCCCGCTGACTGGAGCCCCATAAGGGCGGGGCCTTCTACCACCCACTGCAGGGTTTGGCACACAGGAAGCACTACACTGTTCTACTGGACGCGTGTCCTGCAAAACGCACACACACTCTCCGTCGTCGGACGCCCGGAGACTGTGCCGCTCCCTCTGGGATCTTACAGGTGCCGAGGTCGTGGACAGGCCGGGCTGCTTCTAGAGGCTCATGCAATGGAGGGGAACCTCGAGCGTGAGATCAGACCATGAGTTCTGAAAGCTGGGCTCAGAGCACACCCTTAGCAGTGACTGGGACGCTTGGGGACACCAGGTCTGTGCAGTTTCTTTGCTGGTGGGCCCTCTGCAGGCGCACCATCTGGAAGTAACCTGGGCCTCATGAAGCTTTGGATTTCTGTTCAAAAGTGTGAGCCCTGTGGCCTCCTGGTGTGCATCACACCGTCTCACACCTGGAGGGTGGGGGTGCTGGTGCATCTCATTCTCACTCCACTCCTGACTGCCGTGCTCATCCTGACTCTGCACGCTCCCTCCCTTCAGCCACCAAGTAGCCAGGCTGCAGTGGCTCTGGCAGCCGGCATCCTCCCACCCTAAACGGTGCTCGCTGACCCAGAGGGCACCTCCTCCTCCCAGGTCATGGCAGCACTCCAAGGTGGCAGCACCCATTCAAGAAGGTGGCACCAAACCAAGAAGGTGCCACCGGTCGAAGACGGGAGCCGCTCCTCGGAGAGGGCCACCCTCCCAGAGCGAGCTGCCGTGCCGCAGGTCACCTTTCAGGCGCCCGGCCGTGGTCTTCCAGGCCAGCGGGCCCTCCAGCTGCAGCTGCCGCTGCAGCATCTCCTCCTTGCGGAAGGGCAGCCCGTTCTTGAGCTTGCTGGAGGACTTCAGGTCCATCCTCCCTGCGATCTCCCTGAGGCGCTGGCCTTTCTCGCACTCGCTGACCTGGGTGTCCACTTGGGAGATAATGTCTCTGATGAGGTTCAGGGCCTGGGTCAGGTCTTCGTGGTCCTTGGAGCCAGCTGCCACACAGAGCAGAGTTAGTGCTTTCGTCGGCGCTCGTGAACGGGAGAGGTGGACACGCTACGGGCCTGTGAGCGCTTCCCCCGAGGCCACTGCCTGAAGGACCCTCCAGAATCACCTCCCAACTTGAATTTCCCAAAACATAAATGCTGCTCCAACACGCCCGGCCAGCGCCTGGCTTTTCCAGGCGCTTCTGTCGCAGCGAGGCGCGCGCACCGCAGGGCAGAAGCACCTGCCAGCTCCGAGGGCCCGCTCGGCGAGCAGCCTCCCGGCACCCGCCTTTACCACGGGCTGGGGGTCCGGCTTTCGTGCTGGGAAACGTGCTCATTTCCCCACGCTCAAATCCCCTGGGGGCGAGGGAGCGTGCCAGGGCGTGCTGGCCACGGAGCTGGGGGCGTGCCTTCTCTGCCCTCCATGATGTAGGCAAGTCCCTCTCGTGGCCCTGGCCATGGACTCTGTGCCCGTCTGGATCACTCAGGAGTGACCTTAACAAGGGCACTTTCTCCATCATTCATCCGCTCCCCAGATGCCTGTGCCAGGGGCCGGGGTAATGGCAGGCAAAGGAGACTCAGTGCCCATCTTTCTTTGTTGGAAACCCCAGCACCCAACACAGTGGGTTCGCATGGCGGCCCTCAGCTCACGATCGCCACGCTCAGCTGAATTCAGAGAACCAGGGACAAACCCGAGGGACACTTATCGGAGACAGCCCCCCGCACCAGTGGGCAAGGGGGGGCGGCTGCCGCACCTTCCGTGTTCTGGATGATGCGCTCCACCAGCACGGGGTACTTGGTGATGCGTTGAGTGACCAGAAGAATGCACTCCTGTACGCCCAGGCGCCTCACGATGGAGGAGCTGCCGAGTTTCTAGGCGATGGAAAGAAACATGACACACTGACCCTTATTCCTGCCGAGCCAGCGCACTGAACCCGCTCAGATCCCAAGGCTGGAGCTCCTTCCTCTTTGGCTGATGGGGACCTTTCCTCGCACCTCACCAGATTTTAAAAGCAGGGATCCCGGCCGTATGCGTAAAGGCAACAAAGGCCAAGACAGCCACGCCTGTTGCAAAGAGGCCCCCGAGAGACCAGCTGAGAGCGGCTATGGGACCCCCAGGAGAGCTGCGTGATGCACACACGCTCCCCTACGTGGGAAGATCCCCAACCCTGACTGACGCTGTTGGAACCTTCCGGAACGACTGGGCCGGGGCCTCCTGAACCGCTCCCTGCTGGCGTCTGATGCACACCCGTGGTAAGAGCCCACGAAGGGGCCTTCAGAAGCCACTCCCGGGTGGGGACTGGGAGCAGCTCTCCAGAGCGTACCAACCCCCCGTCCGCCTGCTTCAAAGACGCCAGCACTGAGAGGCCTGGGGAGGCCCGGTGGGATGTGAGATTCATCACAGCCTTCCCACTTTCCAGGTGCTTCTAGCTCATGACGTCGGTGGCCTGTCCCACTCTCAGCACGGATACATTCAGGCCCCGCAGTGCCCTCTCCCTTTCATGCCTACGCACTAGGATGATAACAGAGTGAAATGACCATCAGTGAGAGAACGTCACCTCAGGGTGCAGGTGCAGGAGGTGGAACCTTCAGGATCGGGGCAGGGCTGCTGCGGAGCCACGCCGACGGAGCCCAGCGGTCTTTCTAGACCAGGTGTACTTTCTAGAACATGGGAGGTGGGCCTTGCCCGACCCGGCTGACCCAGGCTGGGGACATATTTTTAGTTCTGAGTTTGAGTGTCCACACACTGAGAGGCCAAAGAGGAGTGTGGTCATTGCACAGGCTGTCAGGGAACAGATGGGGACCGGAGAGGGGAGGAGGCAAAGGGTTGGAGGAAGGCACTCGTGCATCAGCTGGAGTGTCTGAAGCCCTAACAGGTGACTCTGGAGGGGGTGGTTTCCAGGGAAGGGTGCCCCTTGAAACCACACTTGTGTTACCTCAACACTGAGAAAGATGGCCAGTGGGCTCTGCTGGGGCATCTCAGGGGCCACCCTGGTGTGGGGAGGAACAAAGCTCCAACTCTACTTTGCACCTGGGGATTCTCCAGAAGGTTCCACTGACTTGTTCTGAATGAGCGTGTCATTAAGAATGAAATAACAACACAGGTACCTTCATCAAGGATCCCCAAACAGCTCTGTGGGAAAAAACCTACAGCAAAGAGGACATGTTTTTAATGAAAATAATAATAAATTTTTACCTTGATCAAGTTTTGAAACTTCTTATTTTGCTGCAGCAGCAACTTGTAGTGACTGACTGCTTCGTTGTGTCCACTGCAGAAGACACCATATTTCTTTTTCATCCTCTCTCCATTTTCACCTGAAAACTGAAGAAAGACAGTGCAGATGTTAACCACCATGGAAAGTTTGCTTCCAGCTCATCTGTTTTTTCCTAAAACAAATACTAAGTTCACTCAGTTTCACTTCCTTCTCTAACACACAGACAGACACAGCATGCTTCATTACAGGTGCCTCACGGCAAGGCACAAGGAACGCAAAGTGCTCACGGCTTCATGCCACCAGAGTGCTGTAACAACTTCCTGAAATCTGAGGCGGAAAAAGAAATTTAAGCCAAAGAATGTTAGAAAAATTTTAAAGCAAAAGGGGGATCTTCTAATTAGTTCTAATGAGCTGATTCTAAAGGCACTCTGAGGTCAGATGAGGGGTAATGAGATCCTCTGTCAATCTTGGCCAAGACTCGGAGGTTGACTCCAAAGTCAATTCAGGGCCAACCCCCCCAACCCCCCATGAATGGCATTGGGTCATTGATACGCTTCTAATAATCAAAACACAGCCACCAAGATAAAAAAATAAAGACCAGCCAACTAACCAAAGAAAAGTCCAGAATTCACAGTTGGACAGTGATTGCACAAGTGTGTTGCTATTTAGATGTTTGTGGTGTTAGACCAGTGGTCGGCAAACCGCGGCTCTTGAGCCACATGAGGCTCTTTGGCCCCTTGAGTGTGGCTCGGCGTTAAAACCACTTCTTCAAAATAGACTCGCCCAGGCTGAAAACCGACTTCTGGGCATGGGCCACGAAGTTTCAATCGCACGCCCACACGTGGCATTTTGTGGAAGTGCCACACTCAAGGGGCCAAAGAGCCGCATGTGGCTCGAGGTTTGCTGACCGCTGTGTCAGACCATTAGCCGCACTCGCGGCAGGAAGGGCCCTGGCTCACTGTCTTCGAGAGCGGCAGGCTCTCCACCAATCGGGGGAAAGGGTTCCTGGGCCCAGTTCCTCCACAGGAATGATTCTCAGACAACAGCAGGGTCTGACACTGTCGACCTGGAGACGGCATGAGATTCCAGTTAAGGGTTCAGCCCCTCAGAAGTATCCCTCCCCAAGACACCAGGTGTCACCGAGCTCCTGACCAACGGGCGATAATCAGAGGTTCCCACATCCCCTTCTCGGGTCTGCTGCATTTGCTAGAGGGGCTCACAGAGGGAGAGACATGGGACTTGCTAGGTCACTGGTTTGGTGTAAAGGATGTAACCCAGGAACAGCCTGATAGGAGAGAGGCGTGGGGCCAGGGTGGGGAAAGCACAGAGCTCCCTGACCTGCCCAGGCACCACTCCCCAACCTGCCTGTGCTCGCAGCCTGCAAGCTCCCCCAACCGCAGTGGGTTTTCACTGAGGCTTCACTACACCGTGGCTATTGGTTAACTCACTGACCACGATCAACTGATTCAGCCTCTAGCCCCTCTTCCCGCCCAGTGTCGGGGGTGGGACAAAATTCCAACCCTCAGAGACATGGTCGGGCCCCCTGGCAATCGGCTCCCATCCTACGCTCTTTCGAAAAGTTACCGCGTTCACACACCAGACACCTTGTGCTCCAGCACTCAGGCAGTCCCAGGGCTGGGGAGCTGTGAGCCAGGAAGCTGGATGAAGACCAGGTGTATGTTTTATGAATTACAATACTGCAGGGAGCCGTGTTTTTGTTATTGGGAGAAACAGGGGGCGGGGCTTGTTCGGGCCTTGCCCACCTGCTGGACCAGGAGGTCCCCGATTTTCCGGATGATGTAATTCCGGTCGCTGCCCTCTTCCAGGGACTCCTGGCGGCGTTCCTTCAGTCGAGAGAGGAAGTGGCCATGCACCTCGAGCAGGTCGTCCGCACACGGGAAGAGGCGGCCGATGGCCTTGCTGCTGAACTGCAGCTCCTCCTGCAGGGCCCTGGAGTAGACCTTGAGCATGATCTTGAGCGTCCGCACATGGTGCACCTCGGTCTGCATCAGCTCTGCGGGGACACGGGCGACAGACCTTACCCAGAGTGGGAGCACACGCTGGCCGGCTCCTCGTGTGTCCCCCGGGGACACTGTGCATTCTGCCTGCCCACCACGCACCAGGCTGACTTCTCAGTCCTCCTCCTCAGCCTTCCTGCCCAGGAGCCAGGCTTCCCCCAGGGCTGCAGGGGCCCAGTGTAAGGGATGGGGTGACATCAGGACAGAGAGGACCCAGGATGTGTGCTCAGTCCTCAGATTCACAGGAGGGCGTTTTGTTGTTGTTAATCCTACCCTGAGGATAGTTTTCGTTTGATTCTTAGGGAGAGTGGAAGGGAGCGGGAGAAACGGAGAGAAACACTGATGTGTGAGAGACACATCTATTGGCTGCCTCCCAACTGGGGCTGGGGATCGAGCCTACAACTGAGGTACATGCTCTTGACAGGAATCAAACCCAGGACCCTCAGTCCTCAGGCTAATGCTCTATCCACTGAGACAACTCAGCTGGGGCCACAGGAGGGTTTGTGCCTAGAGTCGAACAAAGACATTTCAAGGCTGTCTAAGCCAGAAGATTGTCTGGATAAACACCACTCCTTGGGTGTGAAACTCGCACATTTGTGCATGTCCATGGCCAGACTCGGACTAAGCCACCTGGCCAGGGCAAGTGAGATTTGAAAAGGCAAAGAAAGATCAGGTTTTATGTTAAGAGTTTTTCTATTTCAAGGCAAGGCCTTAAAGCTGTTCGAGACAAAACCAAGGTCAACGGGGCTGGGCCAAGGAGTCCAGTGGGGCTGGAGGAGGGCGGGAAGCAGTCTGGGTTTGCCCAGCAGTACAGGTCACGTGGCAGCTGGCTGCCCAATGGAAGGGGATCTAGGCTGGTCCCTGTCCCTCTCTGCAGCATCTGTGGCCTGGCTCTGGGCCCTGAGGGAAAGCATCCACCGAGGTTTTCCTCCACAGCCACACCCACCTCGCTCAGCCCAGCAGGAGCTCAGCGTGGGAAACGTAGGATGTGAGTGCCAGTGGACACTACCAAGTGGCACACGGAGCTCTCGGGGCTAGACCTGCCGTGTGGGATACAGAGAGGACACTTTAGGAAGTGCAGTTTCCTTCCAGAATGCCATTGAGGAACAGGAAAGTGCCCCCTCAGGTGACACAACACTCATTGTTGGGGATGGTTCCCATGAAGAAGACCCTGAGAAGAACCAGTAATAGCCCTGGCTGGGCTTACTCAGTTGGCTGAAGCATCATCCCGCACACCGAAAGGTCATTGGTTCGATTCCCGTCAGGACACCTACCTAGGTTGTGGGCTCAGTCCTCGGCTGGGGTGCGTACAAGAGGCAACCAATCGATGTTTCTCTCCCTTTCAGTGGGTTGCCCTGGGCCTTTGTCACCCTGTTGAGAGGGGCCTGGAGGGCTGGGGCTCCTGGCCTGGGAACGGCTCTGTGCCTTAGGAGCTGCGGTTTTCATTGCAACCTACAACCTCCGGTCTCAGGACAGTGGCTGCCCATGGCCCGGGTACCTGACAGCCAATGGGAAGGAGCGCCTGCCATGAAGCTGGTGCTCAAGTCACATGGGGAGAAAGGACATGCTTCCCCAGCACCCAGTCACAGCCGCGCTCAGCCTTCCTTCTCTCCAGGGTCACCAACAAGGTATGAGTCAGGCCAGGGCAGTCGGCCATCCTGACTCTTGGGGATGTTCCTGGCCACCTCTTCCCTGGCCCCAAAGGCAGGCTGTGCTGGGGAGAGCAGTGAGCGGGTGACAGAGTCTCAGGGGGTGTCAGCAGTGGAGCCCAGATTCGAGGTGGAAAAATTTGAGAAAAAGAAAAAAAGGAAAGAAAAAAAGGAAGTGCTAGTGTGAGGCCTAGCATTTCTTACCATAAATCACATCCTGTCTCTTCACCACCTCCTTCTTTTGTTCCTTTGCGTACGCTGGGTCCACAGACAGGCTCCAGGACTCGGCCTCGAACTCGTGGGCGTCCGATTCGATCTCACTCCGCAGTGATGCCGCGTAGGAGTCTGGGGAAGGGCGAGAGGGCAGGCTCAGCGTGCAGCCTGACTGGCCTGCATCCCCTCAACAAACTGACGTGGTCCCAGCATCCCAAGGCGGGTGGAGGAATTGGGGTGACTGTACCTTCTACAAAAATGGACTCGGCGTTCGAGGATGTAAGTGAAAGGGAGTCGTCAGCTGTCTGCTTAAATTTCAAAAATACAGAGTCGGCTTCATCCATCTCTCCTATGACTGGTCTAAAGAAAAACCATAAAAACAATCATTTCAAAACACTGAATTAAATATGCACACCCCATCCGATGAAGGCAAATCAGACTGTTAATCAATCTGCTTAAATATGAGTTGAGAACTTTGTGGATTTTAATATAAACCTTAACTTTGTCACAAATCACTTTTTAAAGTTAGAAGCCTGTCAACACAACTGCTTCCAGCAAAACGAGCTTCCATGCTCAGATCGGGTCAGAGTGGGTAAGTGTCTGCCTCTTTTCCTGGCCAGGGACCCCAAATGCCTTCAAGCGAGAGTTCCGAGCTCCCAGGCAAAGCCTGACTCAGCGGGCGGAGGGAGACCTCTTCAGAGAAAGACAACCCGCTCCTCCCCGCCCCACTCCAACAAGGGTCACACGAAGACGCTGTTTAGCACCAGGCACTCCCCGATGGAAGTATAAAGCGAACCACCTCGGAGTCCTGGAAACACGGGTGGGGGCATAAATAACAGGGTGCAGGCTCCACGGCAACCTCAGTGGGCCTTCTAGCCTCGCTGTCCTGAGTAAAGAAAGGGACCCTGGACGAGGGTCCTCCGAGAGCATGAAGCACACACACCCTGTTTTTAAAAAGGACAAGCAGTGGCTCTGAAACAAGCGTCCACGGACACTCACCTCTTGGCTGGGGCCCACAAGCAGACTCGCACCCGAGGTCTCCCTCCAGAGAGGCTGCCGGCAGGTCCCCGTGCACTGCCACACCAGCCCCTCCCTCCCCCGCACCGACCGCGGGAGGACCACTTACCCGAGCCTCGCCCCTGCTCCCGCGTGGCTGGGTGCTGGCTGCGGACCCCCCTTCTGCGAGACCGTCATGCCGGCATTCCTGGAGAGGGCCAGGCTGCCGTCGGACAGGAGGGTGGGCCTCGGCGGCTCCTTCACGGACGCTGTGACGGAGGCAAAGGCGGGGTTGGTGCTGAGAAAGTGGGCAGGGTAGTGGCAGCCCTGCTCTGACCGTGGCCGCAGCATGGACAGGACCTTGGAGGTTAGCAGCTCGTTATTCAGAAAGACATTCTCGCTCCATCTCCGAGGGAAGGAGCCATAGAAGGACAGCTCGGGCCGGTGCAGCCCACTGTCCCTGCCTCTGCCGCCGCCTCTGGAATGCGCGTTCCCCATGCTGGCGGCCGGGGCTGCGGGACCCTTGCAGTTTTATGCCTCCGTGAGATCCTTCTAGAAATGTGAAGTGGCGCCTGCTCTTACTGTATTGGCCACAGCAGCCGCTCTGGAAACAGGAAATTGGTCCCTACTGTGACCGTTTAGGGTGCAAATCGCACCGCATTTTTCCTTTGGTAGAATAACAGCTACAAAGCATCCTCTGTCTCAGCGGGGAGTCAACAGCAGAGAGCAGGTCTGTTCACTGTAGAGAAGCTAAGATCATGAAACAGGGAGCTCCGTGCTCCTGTGGCTGTGCTGACCTCACACACACACACACACACACACACACACACACGGCTCCATGCTCCTGTGGCTGTGCTGACCTCACACACACACATACACACACACACACACACAGCTCCGTGCTCCTGTGGCTGTGCTGACATCACACACACACACACACACACACACACACACACACGGCTCTGTGCTCCTGTGTCTGTGCTGACATCACACACACACACACACACACACACACACACACGGCTCTGTGCTCCTGTGTCTGTGCTGACATCACACACACACACACACACACACACACACACACACGGCTCTGTGCTCCTGTGTCTGTGCTGACATCACACACACACACACACACACGGCTCTGTGCTCCTGTGTCTGTGCTGACATCACACACACACACACACACACACACACACACACACACGGCTCCGTGCTCCTGTGGCTGTGCTGACCTCACACACACACACACACACACACACACACGGCTCCGTGCTCCTGTGGCTGTGCTGACCTCACACACACACACACACACACACACACACACACGGCTCCGTGCTCCTGTGGCTGTGCTGACCTCACACACACACACACACACACACACACACACACACGGCTCCGTGCTCCTGTGGCTGTGCTGATATCACACACACACACACACACACACACACACACACGGCTCCGTGCTCCTGTGGCTGTGCTGACCTCACACACACACACACACACACACACACACACACACACGGCTCCGTGCTCCTGTGGCTGTGCTGACCTCACACACACACACACACACACACACACACACACACACGGCTCCGTGCTCCTGTGGCTGTGCTGATATCACACACACACACACACACACACACACACACACACACACTCTGAGGCTGAGGCCACCACGGTCCATAAGAATTCTGGTAGAATCTAACACCAAAGTAGCCGGCAGGCGGACCCTCTTCCGTAGGGTGGCTGCACACCAACCCAACGTGCAGCAGGGGCCAAAGCGCTGCCCGCTCTCCTCTGAGAGCTGAGCTACTAGGAAGCACCTACCCTGGTGATACCTTCCCACTGATGGAAGCAACTCTCTGAGAACCAAGCTATCATTAACTAGGCTGGTTTCCCCTTCCTAGTCAACCATTTAACTCAAGCCTTGAGTAGGCTGCTTGGTTAATTTATTCTCAGGGTGAAAGCCACATTTGAAAGCTTTGCTCCAAGATCAACAGCAGCATAAAAAGAAATCTGCCTGGTGGCGTTCCCGACCTGGCTCTGGGTCCCCATCAAGGTTTCTGGAAGAAAGTGGCTGGAGCTCTGGCCTCAGAAGCAGCGAGGCTGTCCCGAGGGGTGGGCGCAGGAAACTGTACTTCTTTTAGGAGCTTTATGAGTGGGTGCGGGGCTCAGCTTGCTGGGTGAGTTTTAGTTTTGGTGGAAATTCAGGGAGCTTGCCAGTGTGCCGGCGGGCATGTGTCCAGGGGAAAGTTCTGGTAGAGGAGGAATGAGAAAGCTCGCACATGCACAGAAAGCGTACTGTCCCACTACTCATTCTTTAACGAGCTCAGCCTGGTGAGGATACCACGGGCAGTGACATCAGAGTGACATCACCATCAGCAGCAGCTGGCAATCACCAGGAAACCGAGGCCTTGGGGCCCAGGGCAGACAATGCTGCCATTTCTGCACCACATTAACTCCGCCCAGGCCCTCAGGACCTTCTCGTACAAACATGAGGCAGATCCTGAAATGCACCCTTTGCCTCGCATCCTGGTGGCCTGACACATTGTTCCTGTGACCCTTGGTGTTGCCTGAAGTGGATGGATTCTATCTTAATCAAACAGTCCATAGAAGAAAAACTTTCTCTACGAATCACTGGTTCAAGAGGTTGTTCAAGGGTCAACTGCACTTGTTTATTCTGATCAGTCTGCTTCCCCAACTGAATGGAGGACATGCCTCCTACAAAACAGGTAAAGGAATCGTTTTTTTCATGAAATGCTATTCAGTCATAAAAAGGAAGGGCAGTCTAACACACCCTACATCGATGAACCTTGAGCCATCACACTCAGTGAAATAAGCCAGCCATAGAAGGACAGGTATTGCAGGGTTCTACTCATCCGAGTTCCGACAGCAACCATTTTCAAACAGTGGGACAGAGAATTTTAAAAACATGCAATACCTGACTAATTAGTCAGGAGCACTGACTAAATAAAAAAGTGACAATAGCCCTAACTGGTTTGGCTCAGTGGATAGAGCATCAGCCTGTGCACTCAAGGGTCCCAGGTTCAATTCTGGCCAAGGGCATGTACCCTGGTGGCGGGCACATCCCCAGTAGGGGGTGTGCAGAAGGCAGCTGATTGATGTTTCTCTCTCATCAATATTTCTAATTCTCTCTCCCTCTCCCTTCCTCCCTGTAAAAAAAAAAATCATCAATTAAAAAATACATATATTTATATTTATATATTTATATTTATATTTAAAAGTGACAATAGCTAATACAATAGTACCTATCTGGTGTGAATGAATCAAAACTATATATTTTTTTTGTCAGATTGGCAAAATGTACATATTTTTTGTGTGCCACAGGATTACAGTACGTAATTAGCTTATCTGTGCCACAAGATGAAAAAGTCTGCAAATCCCTATCCTGGTGGAGTCAGACCACGGAGACAGAAAGTGGACGATGGGAGCCATGGGCTGGGGAAGGGGGGCCAAGCTGGTGTTTACTGGGGACAGCGTTCCAGTTTGGGAAGATGAGAACGTTCTGGAGATGAACAGCGGGATGGTTGTATGACAGCGTACTAATACTAATGAACTGTACCTATGTATATTTTATCACTATTAAAAAAAAGAAATGATTGTTTCTTTGGGGTGCTGGAATGCTTCTTTATTTTGGCTGTGGTGTTGGTTACTTAAATCTATACGTGGGAGAAATTTTCAAAGAACTATATACTCACTTTCCCCCACAAGAGTACATGTAACAACTGGCAAAATAAATAGGGTCTATCCTCAAGTTAACATTGAGCCAATATCAGTGTCCTGGTTTTGACAATGGATTATAGTTACATTAGATTGTCACTGGGAGACACTTGGTGGTGGGTACACGGAGACTCTACTATTTTACAACTTCTTTGACTCTTAAACTATTTCAAAATAAAAAGTTACAGTTGAGTCCAGCAGTGTGGCCCAGTTGGTTGAGCATCATCCCAAGCACCAAGAGGTTGCCGGTTCAGTTCCAGGTCAGGGCACAGGCCCGGGTTGTGGGCTCAATCCCCAGTAGGGAATGTGCAGGAGGCAGTTGATGAAAGTTTCTGTCATTGATGTTTCCATCTCTGTCTCCCTTTTCCTTCCTATCTCTCTCCAAAATCAACAAAAAAGTATTTTAAAAAAGTTACAGTTGATTCGAATTATTCACAATAACGATGTTCTAAAAAGTCACAGTGGACGCTGAATTAGGGAATACTGAACCTAGTATGCTCACAGGAGAAATGCTGGTTAGGGCTCTATCACTGTTTAGCTACACTTTTTCATCAACCACTCAATACATCACCGTGTATTATATGTGTTTCTGTTAAATGACACCTTGTTTTTAAATATGTTTTAATTGATTTTAGAGAGAGAGAGGAAGGGAGAAGAACAGAGAAAAACATCGACGAGAGACAAACATCGATCGGCTGCCTCCTGCACACCCCTTATTGGGGATCAAACCCACAACCTGGGCATGTGCCCTGACTGGGAATGGAACTGATGACCTCTTGGTTCATGGGTTGATGCTCAACCACTGAGTCACACTGGCCGGGCTAAATGACACCTTATTCAAACACAACGTCAATCTATTAGCACTGAACTTATGCCCAACAACACTGTACCTCATGTCTATAAATTTCTACATAAGGCACCCTGCAGTCTTCTTGTGCTCAGGAACACTAGACAGTACTGCTCACAGGACATTTTAAACTGTGAGATCGCCGCCAAGAGTACAGAGTGAGGGAAATACCCGCATTAAATACACTGCACAAAGGGCACTTGTTACAGCATGAACTGCCAAAGTGCTGCCTGTTCCATCTTCGCTGGGAATATGCACATTGGGCAACTCATTTAAAAAAATGTTTTTCTTGATTTCAGAGAAAGGAGGGAGAGGGCGAGAGATAGAAACAACCAATGATGAAAGAGAACCACCAATCAGCTGCCTCCCACATGCTCCTCATTGGGAATTAAGCCCACAACCCGGGCATGTGCCCAGACTGGGAAGCTCCTGATGCTCAACCAATGGACCACACTGGCCAGGCTGTTCTGCAAGTCTGCAAAAGACTTTCTCCCCTTCTCCCCCCTGGTATCAATTTGGGGGTTACAAATACATTTCAGCAAATAAGTGAATTCATAAGTACAGAATCTGTGAATAATAAGGATTGACTAAATTGTGTTAAATGAGAAGTTATATTTTAGACCACCTGTATTTGCACACACCACAGAGCACGGATTTCTTTATAATTCATTACACATACACTTCCAAAAAGTATAGGAGATGGCCTTTTATTTGGGGGGAACTTTATATATATATATATATATATATATATATATATATATATATATATATATATATATTACTGATTTTTTACAGAGGAAGGGAGAGAGATAGAGAGCTAGAAACATCGATAAGAGAGAAACATCAATCAGCTGCCTCCTACTCACCCCCTACTGGGGATGTGCCCACAACCAAGGTACATGCCCTTGACCGGAATCGAACCTGG